TGGAATGGTGGGATGGAAGAATTGGATGAAGACATCATGTTTAATGATGTACAGCCTGACAGCGGTATATCTGGAAGCGATGGTGTAATAAAAAAGGGAGCACCTAGCCTGAAGAGCTTATGTGAGAAAGTTGCGATTGAGCATATTCTGGAGCCAAAGAATTCTATACAACTTCTTGAAGTTGCCGAGTCCTTGGAAGCTAAGGAGCTCAAGAAGCACTGCGAGGTACCATGCTTATGTTCTCACTTTGCAAGCATTTATTCTGCATTCTTCTGTTTGTTCATGGCCTTGGTGCCTATGTTCTCTCTTTTTCATATAACAATTCCTGGCGGTTCCGTGTGATGCAGGATATAGCTATTCGCAATCTTGATTACATTTTCACAGTGGCAGCTCCATCAGTTATGAATGCTTCTCCTGAAACTCTTGCAAACTTAGAGAGATTGCTGGATGAAAAATCGTCAGAGCCATGGAGTCATCGTCGCCTTCCCACAGTGACAGCTACTTATCCTGCTGTCATTGATAGTGATGAAGAGGGAGATGAAGCAGGAGGATTTCTTAGGCTCAGGGACAGTCAGAAGTCTGCATCGAAGTCATATGGAATATCAAGTTATGGGAACTTCCTTGAGAAAGATAGCAATGCTGGACAAGCTGCCTCTAAACAGATCAGGGCACTTCGCAAGAAACTGCAGCAGATTGAGATGCTCGAGGCTAAACAACTGGATGGTCATCAGCTTGATAATCAGCAGCTAGCAAAGCTTGAGTCAAGGGCTGCCCTTGAGGGTGAACTTGCAGAACTCGGCATTCCCACAGATTTAAGAACTCCAGTCTGTGTTACAGAAGAAAAGACAAACAAGAAATCGAGTGTTTCTAAGAAACAGAAGCGGAAAAACAAGCAGGCAGCACATTCTGATACTCCCTTGGTGAAAAGGGAGGACAGGGACCAAATCTATGTCAAGGATCTTCAGGAAGTCTTACCAGTCCATATTTCTGCAGAAAAGGTTAGATGGTATCATATTGACACATTAGTATTACGATTTTTGTCTGGCTCCTTGTCTTTCTTAGGCCCCGTTCGATCTCCAGTTTTCGAGATAAATTTTTGTTGCACACAAAACGAAAAACCTCATTAGCACATAATTAAATAAATATTAACTATTGTAAATTTGAAAATGGATTTATTTGCTTTTTTAGAACAACTTCTATATAGAAACTGTTTTTAAAAAAAGCACAATTTAACAGTTTGAAAAACATGCTAACAGAAAACGAGGAAGTTGAAGTTTGGAGTTGAAGAATAGAACAGGGCCTTAGTCTCTTGCAACTTTATTTTTGCAGATACACTATTCTGAGATCTCATGTCTGTACTCTAGCTGTTTTGAGTATATGTTAGCAATTTGACTACAATATTGCTATCATTTGCTTTTATTGAGAGTGACATTGTTTTGTGCGGTCTTACAAAGTTCTGAGACCCAAAGCTGAGAGGCTATGTCCAACTTTGTTCTTTTGGTACCTGTTGTGTGTGTTGCTTGCATGCAAGGCAAAGTATTTTCTCCTTAACGGAATCTCATTTTTTTTCTTTTAATTAAAGCATGATGCTTTCTTTGTTGATATTTTTCTAGTATATCTCTTAGCTTCTGTTGTTCTGATATGACTTGCATCATCTAACATGCTTCAGTCTTATTTAGATGTGTACTTTTGCTTTGCTAAAACCCAGCCTGGCAGCCTTTGCCAAATGTATTATACTAAACATTGTTGCTGATAAAATCTATATTCAAGCAGGAAGCAAGCGTTGCTGATTCAATCAAACCCTCAGAGCATGTCACTTTCATTAACACAAAGGCTATCTCTTGTCCATTGGAAAACAAAGCTTCCCAGCCAACTTCGTCAAAGAAGAAGAATAGGAAAGGTGGCTTATCGTTGTTTCTGAGTGGTGCTCTTGATGACACCCCAAAACCAAGCCCGCCTACCCCTGTTGTGACTGTCACACCAAAGCATGAAGGTCCTGCCTGGGGTGGTGCTAAGGTAACAAAGGGATCTGCTTCCCTTCGAGATATTCAAAGCGAGCAGAGGAAAACAAACGAGCCGATCACGGCCAAGGCAAAAGACCGCTTTGAGGACTCACCTGACAGTGCTGGGCGCATGCGACTTTCTTCGTTTATACCTGATGCACGCTCTACACCGATAACTGTCACACCTGCTCGTGTCGTGCCTGCTTCTGAAGGGGATAAGAGCACACTATCCTGGTCGTCTTCTGCTACCTCACCTAATGTATTGCGGCCTTCTCTCAGGGACATACAGATGCAACAGGTAGAACTCATATTTTCTCTTTTATGAAAGCACCCAAAGAAATAGTAGTATTCCATTTTAAGTTATCTGGTTCTGATTCAGAGCTGATTGATTTTGAGCAGGAGAAACGGCAAACTGGCATCTCCCACAGTCCAAAAACCAGGACATCGGGCTTCGCTATACCTTCCCAGGGCACATCACCTGAGGTTGGTGGCATCAAGGACAATGTTCCCAACCGCTGGTTCAAGCCAGAGGCCGACGCTCCGTCCTCGATTCGCTCGATCCAGATTGAAGAGCAGGCGATGAAGGACTTCAAGCGCTTCTATAGCAACGTGAGGATTGTCAAGCCACAGGTCCAGTGATGACCATGACCATGGCAGCCATCTCTCAAGAGTTACTGATCTCTCTTAGGCTCACCATCACATTTTCAGTGGTTCAATGTACATTCAAATGTACAGTCAGTTTCACCCAACACTAGGTTCCTTTAGTCAGAATAAAGCTCAAACCTTTCTTTGCTTCCGTTTTCGCAGAAGTGATCTCATCTATAGCTGTGGCAGATGGATGTATAGGTTGTATGAGATCACCCCCTGCTTGCCTTAACTTCTGGCAATGCCTTTTTTTCCTGCCAAAATCTCTTTGGTTGATGCAATCAAAAGCTCAAAAAACTGTGGTGCATTTGCACTCATTTACTTGCTAATTTTTTCATTCATTTCAGTATTGCCCTTCATTTTACTTGCTCTCATTCTTTGGTCAACTTGTGGATGTGAAAAATATTTAACCAAGATTGTAAAAACATTTACTGCACATATATGGAGCCAAGTTACTTTTGTCATGTCGGTATGGATGGAGCGAATGCTTAGTAGTGCAAAAGCAAACCATGCTTTGCCTTTTCCCCTTGGTTCATGAGTTTAGGCTTTTAGTAGTTTATATGCATACTGTAACTTTTGCCCAAGAGTCAAAACAACAGTGCCTGCTTGTTTGCATACTATTTCTTTGCTGAAAAGTGAAGACAGCTAGACATGAGGATGGCAGTTCATGTGCTCCCATAATCTTGCTCACTGATGATACCTATAGGGGCATAATTTATCAGATGGATATTCTTTGCCCTCTGCCTAAGCTGAATGATGCTGAAGACTCTTCATTTCTTTGTCATATACCCTCTAGCTACATGATCAGAATCTATAAAAGTAAAAAAAAAAAAAGAAAAGGAATATCTTTTATGGGAAGTTTGTACGGGAGATAATGTACAACGTATTACGTATGCTGATATTTCATTGGGAGGAGGAATTTTACTACTCAAGGGCATGTGCACTTATATGCTAACTTATTGGATGTTTTTATTAAGATTCGTGCTATACTAAAAAGAATACTAGTATTATGTTTTATTATAAATATATGCCATATGAACGAATCTTAAAACAAATCTAACAGTAAAGTGTAGTTGCACATGCACATGCACACTTGTGTTGTAAATTGTCTTCTCTCTTGCAATAAGCATCAGTGGATGGTTTATACCAACTATAAATACAATGATTTCGATAATAATTTCCAATACATTTTACATAAATCTCCCAAGATTAACCTGACAAAGAGAGATTTTGGGAATATGCAAGATGCTGATCATGTGCATGGCAGGTGTGGGCGGTAGGATGGGGACAAAGGAAAAATAAAATGGTCGGTGTGGATGGCCTTCACCTTTCCTTTCGCTTTTGTGACTCCTCACTCTGTAAGCTTTGCCCATTTTCCGATCAAGTCATACGCGGCTGGAAAAGCCACACAGAGAAAGCCATTCTTCCACACACACATACACACACTGCCTCTGCTCATTTCATACACAAACATGGAGGAGAGGAGATCTGCTGGAATCTTGATCTGGGCCGTCGTCTCCTCTCCTCATCACAAAGTGTGCCTCCGAGATAGGATATGAGGAGAAAGTAGTGGTAAAGTGTTCTTGCCTTGTAGATTCCAGATCCAGTGTGGGGGGCTCTGCTCTTGTGTAGCTTTTGTGTTGATTTGCAAATTTTGCAATCAGTAATTTGGCTTGTGCCTGTGGCTTCATGTGCAGATGGTGCAATGTAAGTAGGTATTTCAATTACTAGTAAAAAATAGTAACTGAGGTGTTCTTGCGCTTGTTTTTTCTAACTATTGGTTGGTTGGGTTACTTGTGGAGAAACTCCGGTACGTGATTGTTTTTTATTACATGACGGATGCACACAAGCATACACCGCTACGCACGCAACATCACACTTACACCCCGCATATGTGCCCCTAGCACACACTCCAAAAGACGAAAACCAATGACACATCCTTATCTTACTAAAATCCTTATTAAAAGTGCACCTGCACGTAATTTATTAATTTGTTGATAGGCCATTATTCTTTTGATGTGGTAATCATATTTATAGGTAATTATTTTTTTATTATATGCAACACACTCATAAGAGAAAATGTGTAACCATTCTTATGTTGAACTCGATTTGGAAATCTTTATCATGCATTTCTTTTACTACATATGAAACGAACTATACAAGTCTACATCCACTTTGTATCAGCTTTGCGTGGTGTAAATTGTGCCTATCCAACGTGGAAAGACAAATCAATGAGTCAAATAAATTCAGCTACATACACAACTCTACAGTATTATAAACATTCTTTTGGCAAGAATATAATCCTACACACTCAATTTTAGCAGAGATATCTTACTTTACAGTATACAACATCTGCTTGCAACATGAAGATAAGCAACTACTCCTATATGTCTGTATATATACACTTAATACCCTACATTCTCTTTCATACGCTCCTTTATTTGTTCACACTTATACATCAATAAGAAAAGAAGCATCATCAACTATCATCAATAAGGAAGTGAACACATATATGAAAAATCTTTTTTAATCACTCCAGTGAATGCATGATTTTTTTTCTCCACTCCCTTAAAAATTAAACTGATTCACACAAAAAGGGGTTGTCCAGATTGATGTCATTTTAAACCATATTATTTTTGAGTAAAGTTGCCAAATATGTACATCTATTTAGTTTTTTACCAAACTCTAGTAAATAAATAAGATATCCTACCAAAACTTAGCAATATTGCTAAATTGCCAGTAAAGTTTATTTTGGCTACAATCTGAAAAGGCCCAAAATCCCATCAAAATTCATGCGTTACGTACAAATAAGATTTTATGTCCCTTTTGAAATTAAAAAAAAAACAGAATTTTGATACTATAACTTAGTATAGTTCTCATGGAAGTCCTTCAAAATCTCAACATTTCAAACAAAGCCCTAATCATATTGTAGCTCTACACATCATGCTATGCTAAACAACCTACTCACATCCTATGCTCTATTTATTAATAAATAAATGAACACTTTAAAGTCTCTAACACACACGCACGCAAGCCAGTGATTAGTGAAACAGCTCACTCTAGAGAGAGAAGTCCATCGTCCATGCAAGCGAAGCTCGCCGGCGACGTGGTAATAGCGCTGCACCGCCGGCCGGAGCTGTAGGAGAAGAGAAGGCGTCCGGCGATGGCGGCGGCCGAGACGGTGAGGAAGCTGGTGGTGGAGGTGGTGGAGGCGCGGAACCTGCTGCCCAAGGACGGCACGGGCACGTCGAGCCCGTACGCCCGCGTCGACTTCGACGGCCAGCGCCGCAAGACGCACACCGTGCCGCGCGAGCTCAACCCGGCGTGGAACGAGGCGCTCGAGTTCAACTTCGCCGGCGTCGCCGGCGACGTCGTCGTCGGCGGCGAGCCGCTTGAGGTGGCCGTCCTCCACGACGTCCGCGTCGGGCCCAGCCGCCGGAGCAACTTCCTCGGCCGCGTCCGCCTCGACGCGCGCCAGTTCGTCCGCAAGGGTGAGGAGGCGCTCATCTACTTCCCCCTCGAGAAGAAGGGCTTCTTCAACTGGGTTCGCGGAGAGATCGGCCTCAGGGTCTACTACCTCGACGAGCCCGTCGCTCCGCCTCCGCCGCCGCCGGAGCCACCTGCCGCTGATCCCGCTCCAGCCGAGGCCGCTCCCGATGCTCCTCCGGCCGATGCCGACGCCGCGCCGGAGGCGCCGGAGAAAGCGGAGGAAGCACTACCAGCTGCCAGCGGCGGTGACGATGGCGCCACGGACAAGCCACCGGAGACTGACGCGGCAGCGGCAGCGGCAACTTCCGCGCCGGAGGAGGAAGCACCCGTGATGGCATCGGAGGCGGTGGCAGCTTCGGCGGAAGCCGCGCCGGAAGAAGAGCAGATACTGACCCCGCCGCCGCCGCCCACGCCGACGCCGACGCCAATGCTGCGGCAGGTGCCGGTGCCGGCGCGGCCACCGCCGCCGCCACCAGAGGCGCCGGTGGAGCGATCAAAGCATGACCTGGTTGACAAGATGCCGTACCTGTTCGTCCGGGTGGTGCGCGCGCGGGGGCTCCCGGCGGGGGCGCACCCTCACGTGCGCGTCGCCGCCGGCGGCCGCCACGCGTCCACGCGGGAGGCTCGCCGCGGCGCCTTCTTCGAGTGGGACCAGACGTTCGCCTTCGTGCGCGACCCGGGGGCCACCGACTCGCCGGGACCAACGCTCGAGGTCTCCGTCTGGGACCTCCCGCCCGACGCCGACGTGTCCGACGCCGACGACCGCCACTTCCTCGGCGGGCTCTGCTTCGACACCGCCGACGTGCACGCGCGCGACCCGCCCGACGGGCCGCTCGCCACGCAGTGGTACAGGCTGGAGGGCGGGCGCCGCCTCGCCGGCGCCGACCTGATGGTCGCCACCTGGGCTGGCACCCAGGCCGACGAGGCGTTCGCCGACGCGTGGAAGGCGGACTCCCCGGCGTCCTCGGTCGCGGCCGCCGCGGCGTCGCGCGCCAAGGTGTACGTCTCGCCCAAGCTCTGGCTCCTCCGGCTCACCGTCATCGAGGCGCAGGACACGCTCACGGCGCCGCCGCCGCGCGACGCCGGCATCGCGGTGCGCGGGACGCTGGGGTTCCAGTCTCTCAAGACGCGCACCGCCCCGGTGGCGCGCAACGGCGGCCCGTCGTGGAACGAGGACCTGCTGTTCGTCGCGGCGGAGCCGCACGCCGACGGCGACGACTGCCTCGTCATCTCCCTCGAGGTGCGCCATGGCAAGGACGCCTTCCCCGTCGGCTCCGCCAGCATCTCGCTCGCCACCATCGAGCGGCGCGTCGATGACCGCAAGGTGGCCTCCAAGTGGATCGACCTGCTCCCGTCCGACGAGGCCATGAAGAAGGTCGGCAAGAAGGCGGCCATGCACATGCACGGCGGCCGGCTGCACGTGCGCGTCTGCCTCGACGGCGGCTACCACGTCGCCGACGAGCAGCCGTACGCGAGCAGCGACTTCCGGCCGTCGGCGCGGCAGCTATGGCGCCCGCCGATCGGCGTCGTGGAGCTCGGCATTGTCGGGTGCAAGGGCCTCCTGCCGATGCGCACCGCCGACGGCAAGGGCTGCACCGACGCCTACGCCGTCGCCAAGTACGGCCCCAAGTGGGCGAGGACGCGCACCATCTCCGACAGCTTCGACCCGGCCTGGAACGAGCAGTACACGTGGCCGGTGTACGACCCGTGCACGGTGCTCACCGTCGGGGTGTTCGACGATCCGCCGCCGCCGTCGCCGTCGCAGCTACCGGACGGCGCCAAGGACGCCGCCGCGTTCTCGCGGCCGATGGGCAAGGTCCGGATACGGCTGTCCACGCTGGAGAGCGGCCGCGTGTACCGCGGCGTGTACCCGCTCATCATGATGCTGCCCACCGGCGCGAAGCGGATGGGCGACGTCGAGCTCGCCATCCGCTTCGCCGCGTCGGCGTCGGCGCTGGACGTGCTGCACATGTACGGCCGCCCGGCGCTGCCGCCGATGCACCACCTGCGCCCGATCCCGGCGGCGAGCCGCGACGCGCTGCGGCTGTCCGCGGCGCGCATCTCGGCGGCGCACCTGGCGCGGTCGGAGCCGCCGCTGCGGCGGGAGGCGGCGACGTGGATGCTCGACGCGGCGGAGCCGCGCGGGTTCAGCATGCGGAAGCTGCGCGCCAACTGGACCCGCGCCGTGGCGGCGCTGTCGTGGGTGTCCGACGCGGCGCGGTGGGCGGAGGACACGCGCTCGTGGCGGAACCCGACGGCGACGGCGCTGGCGCACGCCGTGCTCGTCCTCCTCGCGTGGCACCCGGACCTCGTCGTGCCGACGCTCACCCTGCACGTGGCGGCCGTCGGCGTGTGGAAGTACAGGCGCAGGCCGCGCGCGCCGGCGCCGCACCCGTGCGTGCGCGCGTCCATGGCGGAGGCGGCGGACAGGGAGGAGCTGGACGAGGAGTTCGACGCGATCCCGAGCTCGAGGCCGCCGGAGGTGGTGCGGGCGAGGTACGACCGGGCGAGGATGGTCGGCGCGCGGCTGCAGGCGATGGTCGGCGACGTGGCGACGCAGGCGGAGAGGCTGCAGGCGCTCGTGTCGTGGCGCGACCCGCGCGCCACGGGGGTGTTCGTCGCGCTCTGCGTGTTCGTGGCCATGGCGCTGTACGTGGTGCCCATCAAGGTGGTCGCCGTGGTCGCCGGGTTCTACTACCTCCGCCACCCGATGTTCCGGGACCGGATGCCGGCGCCGGCGATCAACTTCTTCCGGCGGCTGCCGTCCATGTCGGAAAGAATCATGTAAGATATATGAATATATGATCCGGCAAGCAGTGCTAATTGATTACTTTGCATAATAAACATTACCATTGCCATCCTCATAGTGTTGTCGAATTGTCTATTTTCTATGTTAGTAGAACAGAATAAACGAAATTAGTTTATGTTTATCCCATGTAATATTTCATTCGTATTATTAATTAATGGATATTAGGCATGAATATTTTTCTTTACATATGCTCGAGAAATTTTGTGGCACAGAACTACATACATTTTGGACGATAACAGACTTACACTAGAAATAAGAGCTGTGAACTTCAGTAAGAGAACTTTGATTATACAATTGCACCGTGTTGTGAGTTTTGTCCTAATACGACAAGCAGGACAGAGATTTAACTACTCGATCGCTAATTTACACTAGAAATATCAGAAGCACAAGCATTCAATGGGTAATTTATGATCAGAAAAGATCCCAGAGAATCTGGGAAAATGGAGAAAATATAGCTGGAAAAAAAATGCTTTGATCCTTGGAACCAGACTATTAGAGAAAGCATGAACTAATACGACTTCGCAAAAATTGCAACTTCCTCGGCTGGATTGCCAGTCATGAAGCATTTCTTAGCGCCCTCTGGCTGCTCGAACGGGAAGCATCTGATGGTGGCGCTGGTCTCTTCTTTCACCTTCAGCTCATCAGCATCGCTGAAGTATACCACAAATGAATCAAGTTTGCAAAAACATAAAATAACATTAACACTGTTGGACAAACAGCGCATTTAAACTGCACCTACCTAGCTGACCATGGCCCTCTCGCCCATTTACCCTCGGCAATGGCCTCCTTCAGTTCTCCATATGAGCTTACATCAACTATGTTACTGAAAGTAAAAAGTGCACCGTTTAGTTCAGAGGAAGTTTGTCTGAAAGAGAAGGAATTAAAAGAACACAAACGCTAAAATGATTATTGCTAGGTGGTGCTAAAAAATCAGTTGCACTGTACTACTGAGCTCTTGCAATGAAAATAATCAAAAGATGGCCCCCACTTAAGAGCATTTTTATTCAGAAAACAATCAGCAGTTCACGACAAATTAGCAAAGTATTTTAGGACAAGTTGAGTAAGTTCTCTATTATGCGTATGTAGAAATGCATAAATAGGAATTGAGAACAAACTATACTTTAGGACAAGTCGTTCAGCGTAAACAGATAGTACCTATCACGGAATGCAATGGCCTTCTGTAGAAGGGATGCTTGGATTTCCACTAGACGACCTTTTATATGGTCCACCAGTATTGATGGATCCATAGACACTCCAAACTCCTTTCCTTGTTTTCCAGGGATATCTCGCCTAGAAATAACAACACTTTTGTTTGTGACATCACGGGGACCAATTTCTAGTCTTATAGGAACTCCCTGTTGAAAGTTGTAAACAATGGTAGAAGTGTCAGAATTCAGAAAGAAGCCTGCATAAACAGAAACAGAGAGCAAATGAGCTATACCTTCATCTCGTAAAAATTGAACTTCCATCCTGGTGTCCGCAACTCCGAGTCATCCACTTTGACTCTAATTCCTGCTTCTTTGAGTGTGTTTTGAACTGAAGACACAGCTTCCATAACAGCACTCTTTTCATCTCCCTTTTTCCATATAGGCACTATTACCACCTGTGCTAAACAGACATTCTTAAATTCTACTGATATATGTATGGTTTTGGGAACTGAAAGCAGAAAATCAATTGAGCAAATTTGCGGAAAAAACATGTAATCTTAGTCAACATTTTAACCACTATTGCCAGAGGAACAGTAGATATTGTATTGCCATAGTTGAATACAAAGGAGAGGGCATCAGGGCAAACATAGTTTGACAGAGGGGCCCCAGTTTTTATGTACAAGAAATCACATATATAATTAATCGATGGAAAAAGACCTGGATGGGTGCAATATTTGGCGGAAGCATTAAGCCAGCATCATCACCATGGGTCATGATGATCCCACCAACAAACCGAGTGCTAATAGCCCAAGAAGTCTGCCAAACATGTTCGATTTGGCTATTTTCATCCATAAACTGCAGGCAAAGGAAGAGAAGAACTTCAAGATCATGGATGTAGCTAAAGAAAATGCAAACAAGAAATAACGCAGGTGAGACACCAAATCAAGTCTCTGGAAGTAGTCTGTCTTACAGGCTTGTTGCAGAATTGATTATAGCAACTATGACATAGGAATCCAAAAATGGTACATAAAATGGTTCCAGTACACAAAACAAACAAGAACATGAAGATAGTAAACACCAAACAGTAACCTGTGTTCCAAAGGCACGGGAGAAGTTCTGTCCAAGGTTGTGGCTGGTTCCAGCCTGTAAAGCCTTCCTGTCACCCATCATAGCTTCTATAGTGTAGGTCCGATTAGCACCAGCAAACGTTTCCACTCTTGATTTTCGACCCGGAATAACAGGGATTGCAGCTTGCTCGTATGCAAATTTTGTATATACATCAATCATTTGCATTGCCTGAAGAGAAAAATGGAGCAGATGATATTACATTAGAATCTTCCATTCTTTCCAATTTGTGTTATCAAGTGCATGAAGGAACTTGTGCAATGATTAGCATTCAACAAACCTCCTTTTCTGCCTCTTCAAGGGTGGCATGAGCTGTATGACCTTCTTGCCATAGAAATTCAAGAGTTCTGATGAATGGCTTAGTCCTCATTTCCCATCTTGTGACATTAGCCCACTAGGGTAACAAGAAAAATCAGTACAGTAAATGATATTGGACTCATGTTGATTCAAATATGCAGATAGAGTTACCTGGTTAATCATGAGAGGAAGATCGCGGTAGCTCTGTATCCATTTGGTGAACATGTGGTTTACGATGGTCTCACTAGTTGGTCTTACCTACAAAGCCCTCAAGAATGGAAATGCAGAAGGTTGAGCTTTAGAGGCAATCCAATCACAGAATCAATCATCTTGTATTTATAATCATTGCCCATGGAAAATATCACGGAATCGTGGTTCTATATCCAATATAACAGTAATACTAGAGGGAAGTATTACCACAAGCTTTTCCTCTAGTTCCTTTCCTCCTCCAATGGTAACTAATGCAAGCTCTGGACTAAAACCTTCAACATGGCTGGCCTCCTTCTCTATAAATGAGTATGGTATGAACTGATACAACAAAGAGGGTAAGCATAAGAAACTATAAATTGGAAAATTGCTATAAGACAGTCTAACTCAGATAAAGCATGAAGCAATCTCTAAGAGAAGAATAGTTAAGCCAAGTACTGGAAAAGTATGCATATCCACCCACAGTGTTCAGGACAGAAGTCTACGCATGATTCCACTGAATATAACCATATAAGGCAAAGTAGATTTCACTTGCCAAGAGTCACTAAGCTTATATTAGAACTTTAAAATTAACACATTATTTGGAACATGAGCTTAGGATCCATCTAATTCACCAAATACAACAAAACAAAATCTTCGACATAGCAACATCAAATTATTCATCCTTTTGCACTTATCTCGCTGTCTACATCTCAAAAAAAATATTAAACAGCACCTCCATCCTGTACTTCGAATATGAAGATTACAAACCAGCATTCCCATGCCAACAAATACAACTTAATTTCCTTTAAAAAAAAAACAAATATAACTTAATTTGAGAAAACATAAGTAAAACTTTCTCAAACTCCAGAGCTAGAACTAAACTGTTCAAACCTGATCTTCTACGAATTTGAGTAACAGTAAGTCGGTAACTAATGGTAGCTGAATATTTTTTATTAGACAATGGTATACCAGGGCTAAGGTCCTAAGGTTACAGTGTGGGGTTGAAGAAACTAATTCAGTTATTGATCAATCAACAGCTCAACACCATGTCATTACAATGACAAAAAAGGATACAAAAACAGATGGTCTAACCTGAGGGAAGTACATGTTGCTGTGCCCTGTTTCCTTGAACTTCACATTCAAATAATCCTACAACCAGCAGAAAAACGAGGAATATAATCAAATAGTGTGGCAAAGACACATTCCAAGGTAAACTAAACTAAATTTGTCATGCAAAGTAAAGCTTCCAAACAACAAATCATGATTTAAAGAGGTCAACTCATCCCACACTCCAACGTAAATACAAAATTCACAGCTTTAAATTAGAACTCCACGTTTTTGGTTGCTCACACCATAATCAAAAAATTTATCCTACAAAAACATGCAGGCAGGGCTGATATACTTGTCCACCATGAGTGTTAATTACTTCATTTCTACCGCTACGACATCCGTTCACTAGAAAACTTGATAGCACTCCACTATGCGCACACATGCCATGAAGCTAATCTAAGTCGTCCACGCAGCCTTATGCCAATGCATTCATTGAGGTTTATATACCCATTCCCAAATTTCAGGGCAAGCTACTGACGCCGGGAAGTGGGATCTGAAAGCTTCCAAACCAAAGCACAAAATCTACTGCTGTAAACTAGGGTTAAGTTACCGAATTGCACATATACGCACTACGCAGTACGAGAATTAACTTTCCCAAAAACCGGGCTTCATTATACAGTGGCGTCAGCCGCCAGTGACCATCATTCATTCTTATTTACATTAACAATGTTAATATCAACCCAACAAACAGCACGACAATGCGCACATTCTTGTTTACATCAACAATGTTAATATCAAACCAACAAACAGCATGACAAGGCGCACAGCTAGCAGGAGCAGCAGCGGCACTGACCTGGATGGCCTCCCAGATGGCGTAGCCGTAGGGGCGGATGACCATGGTGCCCCGCACGGGCCCGTAGTCCGCGAGCTCGGCGGCGGCGATCACATCGGTGTACCACGCGTTGAAGTCCACCGACCGCGGCGTCACCTGCCCCTCCCTGTCCCCCCCGCCGCGGGTCTCAGGCGGCGCGGGCGCCGCCGCCCCCGTGGTCGCCGCCGCGGCTTGGCTCCGCGAGGCGGACACGCTCGCCGCCGTCCCGGCGCGGCACCGGCGGCGGAGCAGCGCCGACGGCCTAGCCGCCGCCGCCGACGGCTTGAGCAGCGAGGGGAGGCGCAGCAGCGACGCCATCCGAGGGGAGAAGAGACGACTGGCTGGATTGGCCGTCGCAGCAACTAGTGCCAAAGCTATAGCTTTGGTTGGGCTCGCCAAAATGGGCCAAGTGTTGGATCACATGGGCCCCTTTCCGGCCTCGGCCCATTTTTACGCAGTATTCCAGTTCCGGCCCACTAGAAAGGTGTGTGGCAATCTCGTTCCGGGCACATATGTAAGAGACAGCCGTCACCGCCAGCGCGGCCGCTCGCGGTGTTCGGCGGCGACGTGGAGAAGGCCTTTTGCTACATTTTCAATCTAACCCTTTTTTTTTTTTTGCAAAGTTACGAAAAAAATTGCTACATATAAGTACATATAAAATCTTGCCAAAATTTAATAACCTTATCAAAATTTTAGCAACATTACCAAAATTTGGCAATGGTTGAAAATGATAGTAAAATGAACAAGCCCTCGGTATTAGCGGCGGTTCGTCGTCACTCGTCAGCCATGACGACAATCTGAAAACTACCCTACAAGGCTACGATTAGCCTCATGCTTTGGGCGCTTAGCTCAGGCAAAGAAAAACTCTGGAAAAAATATATGAACTTGGACAGACAAACGATCTACCTAGTTAAGACGACATTCATGTGATATCACAATCTGGAGTTACTTACTCCCTCCGTTTCAAAATATTTGACCCGTTAACTTTTTAGCACATATTTAACCGTTCGTCTTATTAAAAAATTGTGAAATATATAAAACTATATGTGTATATGAAAGTATATTTAACAATGAATCAAATGATATGAAAAGAATAAATAATTACTTAAATTTTTTGAATAAAACGAATGGTCAAATACGTACTTAAAAAGTCAACGGTGTCAAACATTTTGAAACGGATGGAGTATTACCGAAGGCAATTTTTTTTAAAAAAAACAATAGATGACCTAGGACTGATGAACTGCTCCTCATCTAGTTAAGACTTTCATATCAAAAATCATTATTTGTATAAGTTTTGTGGTATAAAGAAAAATTATAGCATTAAAGATCACCGAAAAAACCTAAGGCAAAGAGAAAGATCCAATTAAATAGCTGATCTTGGGACTAACAAACTGTCCAATTAAGGCTTTCGTATATGAATCACAATTTAATCGTAACTCATAAAGTGTGATAGAGTTTAACAACATGTACATGTATGATGTGTAGGACCGAACACTACTAAAGTGTAGGGTGCCACAGTCATAGTAACGAATCAAATGCTAAACTAATAAAAATATGGTATGGCTAAAAATTTAGCGCGCCAAACTACGTTCACCAACCAAACACATCCTTCATATTACATGCATGCTATACTAACAAAGTGCAGTACTCCCTCCATCCCTAAATATTTAACGCTGTTGACTTTTTTAAAAATATTTGACCGTTCGTCTTATTTAAAAATTTTATGTAATTATTAATTTTTTTCATACCATTTGATTCATTGTTAATATACTACTACTAAAGTTTTTGAATAATCCATAAAAGTTTTTGAATAAGATAAGCGGTTAAACATGTAAAAAAAGTCAACGACGTCAAATATTTAATAACAGAGAGAGTACACTAGTATAGCTAAGATTTGGTGTGATAAATTATGTCAATCAACCAAACACACTACTATTATTTGCATCGCTCATCTTCTATGAAGTTTTTTCTTTATTGAGAAGGATAACATCCCTATAGGTCATCGAACAACCGAAAGCAAAGAAAATTAAACTTTTAAAATATAGATCATCTGGAACTGGCAACGTGTTCCGACCTGCTGTCGTAATCTGAAATTATTGTAACAGCTTCGCTCAAGCTCAACTTCACAGTACTAGGATCCAACCAAAAAAAAGAGAATAATCAAAACCAGTACTAGCATCCAAAGACGAACCACCGAGGCCGGCACGTGGCCGGCGCATGCTCCGATCCCGCCGTCCATCGTCAAGACGTCAACGCCTCAGCCCTCGTTGCCCCAAGTCACCCACGTGCTCCCGCCGATTTTTTTTTTAAAACAATTACTCCATGCATCATCCTTGGCCCCACCCGTCATTGACCTAGCCGAGCCCGTCGCTTCGAGCGAGTCACTACCACGCCGCCAAGTCAGCATTCCCCTGGCCCACCCGTCAGCCTCCGAGCGGGTCGCGCTCGCGTCCACTTCGGCTGTCTCGTCTCGTCTCGTCTCTCTCGAGTCTCGAGTGAGACTGCTTGGGTGGTACTGTAGTGTGGTGTGGTGTTGGTATAGATAGATAGGGGAGAGTGTGAAACGGGGCTAGATGAGAATCGGATTCCTCCTCCACCACCGCCATGGATTCGCCGCCGCCGCCGCGGGAGGAGGTGGTGGTATTCGCGGTCAACAGCGAGCGCTTCGAGCTCCGCCGTGACGGGGGCGACCCCGGGGAGTCCCTCCTCGAGTTCCTCCGCTCCCGCACCCGCTTCACCGGCGCCAAGCTCGGCTGCGGCGAAGGCAAGGCAACCCCCCAACCCACCGCTCTTCCTCCTCCTCGGCTGCTTTGCTTCCGTTCGATCGGCTCCGGCGAGCGAGCTTGATGGCGAATGCTGGTTTCTCGGTTTTGCAGGTGGGTGCGGGGCGTGCGTGGTGGTGGTCTCGGCGTACGACGCGGAGGCCGACGAGGTGGCGCACGCGGCGGTCAGCTCGTGCCTCACGCTGGCGCGCGGCCTCCACCACCGCGCGGTGACCACCACCGAGGGGCTCGGGAGCAGCCGGCGCGGCCTCCACGCGCTGCACGAGCGGCTCGCCGGCTTCCACGCCTCGCAGTGCGGGTTCTGCACGCCCGGCGTGTGCATGTCCCTCGCCGGCGCGCTCGCGGCCGCCGAGGGGAACGGGAAGAAGGCCGCCTCCGCCGCGGAGGGGTTCTCGAGGCTCACGGCGGCCGAGGCGGAGCGCGCGGTGGCCGGGAACCTGTGCCGCTGCACGGGGTACCGACCGATCGCCGACGCGTGCAAGAGCTTCGCCGCCGACGTGGACTTGGAGGATTTGGGGCTCAACTGCTTCTGGAACAAGGGCGATGCCACTGCCAGTGTCTCCAAGTTGCCGCCTTACAAGGAGAGGAGCATCGCCGCGTTCCCGGAGTTCTTGAAGGATGAAATCAGATCTTCATTGGGGATTGATCATTCCATTTCGTCAGCATCTATGGTGGGGAGTGTGAGCTCTTGGTATCAACCTAAAAATGTGGAGGAGTATTATAAGCTGATAGGTTCTTTGTCATCATCATCTGATAAAAGTAGAACAAAGGTGGTTGTGGGCAACACTTCTTCTGGTGTTTACAGGGATGCAGAGCTGTATGATAGGTACATAGACTTGAGAGCCATTCCAGAACTGAATTCGGTTAGCAAGGATGTCAAGGGTGTTGGCATTGGGGCTGCAATGTCCATTTCTCAGGTAATCGAGATTTTACGAGGAGAAGGCAACAGCTACAAGGACGTGGTGTTTTGCAAGATTGCTGATCACATGGAGAAAGTGGCTTCTCAGTTTGTCCGGAACATGGCGAGCTTGGGTGGAAATCTGATAATGGCTCAGAGGGATGAGTTTGCCTCTGACATTGCAACGGTTCTGCTTGCTGCTGGTTCATCACTGTGCATCCAGGTATCATCAGAAAGGATGAATGTCACACTGGAGCGATTCCTGGACATGGCCCCTTGTGATTGCAAGACGTTGCTATTAAGAATTTACATTCCTCACTGCACTCCAAGTGGCATCTCATCAAGTTCTGAATCTGTAAATAAGACAGGAGATAAACCTGCAAGTTCCGTGCTATTTGAGACATACCGAGCTTCCCCACGGCCTATTGGAAATGCTGTTTCATACCTTAATTCTGCATTCCTGGCTAAATTATCTTCAGATGAAACTTCAGGAAACTGTATATTGGAGAAGCTATGTTTGGCTTTTGGTGCATATGGAACACAACATGCTGTCAGGGCTACAAATGTTGAGAGTCTCTTAGTGGGTAAACCCATCACTGCATCACTCTTACTAGAAGCGTGCACGGTTCTCAAGAAAACAATTGTTCCAGGGGAAGGTACAAGACATGCTGCTTACAGATCAAGCTTAGCTGTTGCCTTTCTTTTTAGTTTTCTTTATCCAATAACCAAAGGAACTTTCAAGCCTGTAGAGGCGGTCCACCTGAACGGCCATATAATTTCTGATAACAATGGAAATATGAATCGTGGACCCGACACACATGTTGATGTTTCACCTAAGGAGATCAATAATGTGAAATCTGATTTACATGGTAATGATCGCATACTTGAATCATCCAAACAGGTCATCGAGATCAGTGAAGACTATCTCCCGGTTGGCTTACCAGCCAAGAAAGTTGGAGCAGAACTACAAGCCTCTGGTATGTATTTTATGATTTTCTTCAGTCATATGTATTTTTTAATTCTCTTTCAGAATGGCATATGCGGTGATCTTTTTATGTAGTAATTATGCAGGATGGGTAGAAATTGGACTATCTACTGTGTTGTGTTTCCTTGCTTATGTTGTTCATGCATTTGCTTTATGCTAATTTTCTTCTAGTTGGAATTTATATATGTGACTATCAGTCATTTAAAATTTATTTTTAAGTTTTCTTTATGTAAACTAATGATCGGTGGCATTGGATTTCATCATATGCTCTTTTAGCCAGTAAACAGTAATGCTGACACAGAAACCACTATATATAGGTGAGGCTATATATGTGGATGACATCCCTTCCCCAAAAGACTGCCTGCATGGAGCATTTGTATATAGCACAAAACCTTTAGCTCATGTGAAGAGCATAGAACTGAACCCTTCTCTCGAGCAGCTAAAAACTGTGGCGATTGTTACTGCCAAGGATATTCCTAAAGGAGGCAGCAATGTTGGGGCCAACACTATATTTGGACCTGAACCTCTGTTTGGTGATCCACTCACTCAGTGGGCTGGGGAACCACTTGGTATTGTGGTATGGGTTTTACACTGGTAGTTTTATATTTAAAGAAAATTTCAAGTTATCCTTTTTTCTTGTTATGTTGTAGGTCATAAGTTTCACTGTATGAATTAACATTGAATTGTGACTTTACTGAAGGTTGCAGAGACACAAAAAACTGCCAATATAGCTGCCAGTCGAGCATTGGTCGACTACAGCATGGAAAATTTAGATGCTCCAATTTTATCAATTGAGGAGGCTGTGAGAAGTAGTAGTTATTTTGAAATCCTACCATTTCTTCTTCCCCAAAAGATTGGTGATTTCTCAAAAGGAATGGAAGAAGCTGACCAGAAAATATATTCAACTGAGGTAAACATCATGCGCCTATTTTATGCTGCCGTTTAGCCATGTGCCCATGTTGTAATGCAATGTAGACAGTGGGAGCTTGAGCCAGTATTATAAATCATTGGTCACTTGAATATCTTCCGATGATTTTGCACTAGGCTTTTGGCCCTATGCAGGGTGGAATCTGACAAATCTGTAGTTTAATGTTTGCTACTTTTGTGTTGCTCAATCATAGGTGACTAAAGTGATTTTTCTTAAACAACATTTGTGAAATGTGCATGGCTTTTATTTACCTTTTCTTTTGATTTTCTGTTGCCCAATCTAGGGTGGCCTTTCTCTCGTATATATAATTTTTGGACAATGGAAGTATAGCTCTCTCTCATATATGACTCCCTGTTATCTCACGTTGTGCATCCTCTATTGACCAAATTCCTACTTCTAATTATTTAAAACTTTCATTACCATGTTTCCCCTTGCATTACCTTGGAAGTTCACATTTTGGTGGTTAATCCTTTTCACATGTCTTTGGCATCATCATACACTGCTACAGGTAATAGCTGACAACACTTTATGCAGGTGAACCTTCACTCGCAGTATTACTTTTACATGGAAACACAAACTGCGCTAGCCATACCTGAGGAGGATAACTGTATGGTCGTGTATAGCTCAAGCCAGTGCCCGGAGGTAGCACAAGAAACCATTGCAAAATGCCTGGGTTTACCTTGTCATAATGTCCGTGTTATTACTAGAAGAGTTGGTGGTGGCTTTGGAGGCAAAGCTGTCAGATCGTTACCAGTAAGTGTCATGACTTGCCATTATTTACAGTGCTTGATGTTTTAAAATTCTGCAGACCTTTTTGCGTATTTCTCTAGGAAAATGTCGCAGACATTACACTGATACTAAAGCTGCATGGTCACTTTTATATGTGTTCACTTTAATCAATCAAATATTCTCGGAGAGAATTCATGTCAAGTTTTAAGTGCTAAGTGAGTACATGTGGAAGGGAGAATAGCAATCTTACTGATGCCTTAAGAGTCTTATTAGTCCATAGATGACCTTCTGACCTTGTTAACTTCGGTGCTTCATAAGTATTCAATCTGTCATTGTTTTACAACTATGTTTGGTTAGTAACTGTTAGCAAAACACATACTAAGTTTTTGTTAATTGTAGGTGGCAACAGCTTGTGCACTTTCAGCATTTAAGTTGCAGCGTCCTGTCCGAATATATCTTGATCGCAAGACTGACATGATAATGACTGGGGGCCGGCATCCCATGAAAATACGCTATTCTGTAGGCTTCAAATCCGATGGGAACATCACAGCGCTACATATAGAATTGTTGGTAAATGCCGGAATAACCCAGGATGTTAGTCCAGTGATTCCTCACAATTTCATAGAGGCTCTGAAGAAATATAATTGGGGTGCCTTCTCCTATGATGCAAGAATCTGCAAAACAAACATTGCAACCAGATCCGCAATGCGGGGTCCTGGAGAAGTGCAGGGTTCTTATGTTGCTGAAGCTATTATTGAGCATGTTGCTGCTGTGCTCTCTACTGATGTTAATTTGGTCAGGCAGAGAAATCTTCACACAGTGGAGAGCCTCAGTTTGTATCATAGTGAATGCATGGAAGATGCCTTGGGGTATACACTTCCCTCTATCTGCAATCAGTTGATTACATCAGCAAATTACCAGCACCAACTTGAAATGATTCGGTCCTTCAACAAAAGCAACAGATGGAAAAAGCGGGGGCTTTCTGTCGTGCCGATAGTGCATAAATTCGCATCTCGGCCAACGCCTGGTAAAGTGTCTATTCTTAATGATGGATCCGTTGCTGTTGAAGTTGGAGGCATTGAACTTGGCCAAGGGCTTTGGACAAAAGTGAAGCAGATGGCAGCGTTCGGTCTTGGACAGCTTTGGACTGATAGAAGGCAAGAACTGTTGGAGAGAGTGAGAATTATTCAAGCAGATACACTAAGTGTGATACAGGGAGGGTGGACCACAGGGAGTACAACATCAGAATCTAGCTGCGAGGCAGTTCATCGTGCCTGCAATATCTTGGTCGACAGGCTGAAACCACTCAAGGAGCAATTGCAAGAAAAACAAGGAACAGTTTCATGGGATGAGCTTATTTCACAGGTTTTTAATAATTTCCTCTTTTAGCTACTATTATCAGAATGATTGTTTCCATTTTCTTTTTGGAAATATTTCCCTTGGTCAGCTGTATTATCAAGGAACATTTATCTTCTTTTCCTCAATGTATTATAATCTTCTGCATGCTTTGTCAGATGAAAAAAAAATGTATTCATAGGAAATTAATCATTCCCTCTTGCTAGCATAATATGGTCTGTTGCATGTTCACAAAGTAATTTATTCAATATCTTAATATGTTGCAACCTTTTGATATGCAGGCAAAAATGGTAGGTGTGGACTTATCAGCTAAAGAACTCTACGTTCCCGGGGCTTCTGGTTCCTATCTAAACTATGGGGCAGCTGCTAGTGAGGTGCCCTTAAAACTTCATCCCTGTTTTCAGAATATACGATAGATAGTAGAAAACTGAAATATATACAAGTTTATGGTCATGATCATTCAAACTGAAATTTATAGTAGAAAACTCTGGTGCTTACTCATTCAAATGGAAATTGGCCATTGCAGGTAGAGATTGATCTTCTGACAGGAGCGACCACAATTTTGCGTAGTGATCTTATATATGATTGTGGACGGAGTTTAAATCCTGCTGTTGACTTGGGGCAGGTGAGCATTTTATGGGTTTTGTACCAGTTTCTTGTTTCTTCACCTTCAAAAGGTTCGTCAGTTTCTTCCGTACAGAACCTAAAATTCCGTTTTCCATTTGTTCTATTAATAAATTGACAAGTCAGAAATTGATGTCAGGTTTACAGCCTTCTAGTCAGTAGCAGGTTGTGCCAATTTTTTCTAATATTAAATGGTTCATGTGTCATCTTCTTTTAGTTTTACTGGCACGCTATACTTATATATTAACATATTTGATCCTTTGCTCTCTTCTTTTTCAGGTTGAAGGGGCTTTTGTCCAGGGAATTGGTTATTTCATGAACGAGGAGTACGTGACGAACTCAGATGGGCTGCTTGTCTCAGACGGGACTTGGACATACAAGATTCCTACGGTGGACACCATCCCAAAACAGTTCAACGTTAAGCTACTCAACAGTGGATTCCACAAGAAACGTGTGCTCTCTTCAAAAGGTATTTTGCTTCAATCAATTCATAAATTTGGTTATGTTTTAACTCAAAAATTTGGCATATTAGTTTCCCACTATCTATACAACTAACCAAATTTATCGCTCAAGATTATGGTCTATTGAAATTAGAATCATCTTTGCTATATCAAATTACAAACCTAGATCTACAATTGTTATGCATTCAATCAATTAACAGTGTCATAATTTTTACACTGCCCACTACCAACGTAGATACTCTCTTTTTCTCCAGTATACTTGGTAATTCTAGGTCTTGATTTCAAGTCTGTTTGGTGTTAGCTTCTGGGGCACAGTTAATAGTCACCCTTTTGTTCTCCCAACTTTCTGTGTCACTAACGCTTCCTGGTTGCAGCTTCTGGGGAGCCACCTTTGCTACTTGCTGCCTCGGTGCATTGTGCAACAAGGGAAGCAATTAGAGCAGCAAGGGAGGAGTATCACTGTTCCAGGTCTGGATCTTCACCTCCCTTCTTTGATCTTGAAGTTCCTGCCATCATGCCCACGGTGAAGGAGCTATGCGGCTTAGACAACGTGGAGAAGTATTTGGAGAGTATCTGCTCGAAATAAACAGCCAAGTTGGCAATCTTACCAGACGGCATATGTCTTCTTTTTTTAGTCCTTTAGCAAAGTTTTTTTTAGTCCTTTAGCAATGGAGATAACACTGCCAGTTTTTTTTTCTCACCAAAAAAAAAAAGGAGGTACTCAATAGTGAACATGAGCATAATGTATATTAATAGTGGTGAACATGAGCAAAGAAAATAGTATTTACTTAATTTAATAGTGGTGAACATAAGCAGGCGTTGCATAATGTATATTGAGCGTATAAAGAGGGATTTTGTTTGAGCAGAAATGTTGGCTGACATTTGTTCAATATTTACTGCAACTTCAGCATATGGTTCTTATGGTGAGACTACATTTTATACTATGTGAGTTCAAATGAGCACATGTAAGGCAGCCAACTGAGTTATGACGATCATATCCAAGCATACCTGTCCTGGTCAGGAAATAATATGATCATAGAACCATAGTTCAAATAGATAGTAACCACGGAAACTCTCTGAAGAATATATTTTCAGGAGTGAAAACACAAAGCATTCTGTAGTAAAGATCCTTTTATTCTCAGCCAGCCGTATACAGTACAGGGCTATTTTTCTGGACAAGGATACACCCCCCATATTCTTACACTCAAAAGTATGTGATATATCTATACTTTGCTGCACACAGAGATCCAGATCACAATTCTTGTTACAAGCAAAAAACCACAACTCTGAACATCATTTAGAGTTTCAAAAAGATCAGGCTGCAGCAACATGAGTTTCTTCTTTTTCATTGTTCTTGCACTCCCTGCTCCCTTCCACTGTCTCAGCGGGCTTCTCCTCAATGGGCTTGTTGTGCTCGATGCCCTTTTCCAATGTCTGTGCAGGCTTCTCTTCAATGGCATTCTTGGACTTGCCTCCTTCCAGCTCCTCTTTCAGCTGCTCCTTCAGCTGCCTCAGGATGTCTTCCTTCTTAGCTTGAAGGTCTTGTATCTTGGTGTCAATCTTCTCCAGTTTCGCCTTAAGCTTCGCGGGATCATTCGTCTTCTCCTTGTCACCCTTGTCTTTCTTCTTCTTCTCTTTCTTCTTACCTTCTTCCTCCTCATCACCGTCCTTGTCTTTCTTCTTCTCTTTCTTGCCTTCTTTCTCATCGCCATCCTTGTCTTTCTTCTTTTCTTTCTTCTTACCTTCCTCCTCATCACCATCCTTTTTCTTCTTGCCTTCTTCCTTCTTATCACTCTTGTCTTTCTTCTTTTCTTTCATCTCCTTTTCTTTCTTCTTTCCCTCTTCATCCTCATCGTCATGTTCATCGTCCTTCTTGTCTGATTTTTTATTTTCCTTGTCTTTCTTTGAGTCCTTACTTTTTACCGCGGACTTTGCGCCATCATCTGAATCAAGCTTCACCTCTTCCTTGTCCACAATCTTGGCTTTGACTTCTATCTCAATCTCCTTCTTCTCATCCTCATCACCTGAAGACTTGTCCTTGCTCTTAATCTTGAGATGTATCTCCTCCTTGGACTTCTTCTCTTCCTCCATTGGCACCATCCCGACCGCGTCCACAGTTTCGCATTGTTTATCTTTCCCCATCTGGAATATGACCTGGGCTGTTCAAGTTCCTGCAATTACCACTTCTCAGTTCAGTCTCACTATCAAATGAATTTGCTAAGATACTCAACAAAGAGGACAATATGGCCTCGTACAAATCATAGTAACTAACTAGTGACATAAAACACCATCTGTTCATCACAGTGGTTTGTGCAGCAACATTCTGTTTGGAACTCTGGTTGTACCAAAACTTGACTTTCTCAAACATATTTTTAGTGCAACAGCTTTAAATTTTGTATGGATCACATAACAAGCTTGTGGAGAATAGTATTGTCATATGATCTAAAGAAAACTTTAGGTTGTCAGGCACTAAAAGCACTAAAATCTGTTTTTAACAAAGTTTGAGTTTGATAAGATCAGAGATCCAAACAACCCCATTAATAGAGTAGTAGTATCCTAATTTGGTGATTAATTCACACACCTAGTATTATACTCCCAGATAACCATAGATTGGCCTCATGTAGGGCACTAGGAGAGATAATAATCACACGAAAAGTAGGGAGAGATTTCCAAAAACCACAAGTGATGAATTCATCAGTGCATAATGAAGCCTCAGATCAGGCAAGAAAAGATCTCTACTGATGTCTACCCAGGGACGAAAGCTAGAAAGGCTCAGCTGCTGAAGAATGGAACTCGTAAACATGACCAAACTGTCTCCTGTTCTAAGACCACAAAAGCTTAACAACTAAGATGATGAACTAACTGATCTTCATCAAATCTCGAGATCAGCTCAAGCCAAGGCTAAAAATGGGTAACTACTAACTAGTGCAAGCTTAACTAAGGTGATGAACTAACTGATCTTCATCGAATCTCGCGATCAAGATTGAGATCAGCTCTGAAGCCAAGGCTGAAAAAAGTAACTAGAGCAAGTAGGGGGAGGAGGAGGCGGCAATGCCTCTCACTCGATCGGTGGTAGTCCTGACCTTGTCGGGTGACGGCGGCGGTCGGCGGAGATCTTGGTGGCCGTCGCGGCCGGCGAATCACGCGGCGGCGAGGCTCGAGAGGGTGGCGGTGCGACGAGCACGAGGTGGGTGTGGAACTGTGGATGCGGGTCGGGGAGATCGGGGATTTGAGGGCAGCGGGAGCGAGGCGAGGCGAGGCGGCTCTGCTTCGAGAAAAAGGAGGAGGAGGAGGAGGTGAAGTGGAGAAGGAAAAGAAGGGAGGAGAGACGAGTAGAGGGCGACGTGCGTGCAGCGTGGCCGACGGCCGACACGTGGGACGCGGAATGGGTAAGTCGTGCGAGCCTGGCTTGCAAACGAGGGAATTGTTTGTAAGGGTTGAGCGGTGGCAAGATAGAGATGTGGGCAGTGGTTTCTTTACTTATACTACTTAAAAAAAATATGTAGTGGTGATGATAAAGCCAATGTAGACGTACTGAGCCCACACCCGCGCCTCCCCTTCTCATGTCCACCTCCTCCACACTACCATCGCGCCGCGCCGCGCGACCCTCCAGATGCAGCATTGATGCGGGCCGATCCGGAATCAACGCAAAAAAAAAAAGCGCCTCCACACCATCGCCGCCCCAATCCACCCTCGCGCCTCCCCACATACCCACCAGCGCCTCCTCTCACGCCCGTACCCACGCCCTAAAAACGCCTCGCCCCCGCCGCCACGCCACGCCTGCCGCTGCCGCTCCGCCGCCCCTCTCACGCCTGCCGCCGCCGCTCCGCCGCCGCCCTTCGTGCCGCTCGGGAGGAGTTGCGACGGGGTCGAGCCCCTCATCGCCGACCACCTTTCTTCGCTCGCAGCCGCCGTCGTAGCGTGCGTCGTCGTCACCAGACACCTGCGATCATCATTCCCTCTGTGTCACCTCGCCGTCCGTCTGTACTACACCTCTGCCGCCGGGCAGCCGCCGTCGTAGCGTGCGTCGTCGTCACCAGCGATCACCATTCCCTCAGTGCCGCCTCGCCGTCCATCCGTACTCCACCTCTGCCGCTGGGACTCAGGGCCGAACAGATCTCCCCGGCCGCGGTCGCTCGTTCTTTTGCTGCAAAACTAAAATGGTCAGGATAACACCGATGCACTTTATTTTTTATGACCTATACTTGCCTGCTCTTTTCTGCTCATTGGGGATCAATAGGAAATGACTTTCAGACCGATACTAGCCTACTGTTTTAAGTCTCTGCATATGCTGAATCTGAAAGTACCAGCCTGCTCTTTTCTGCTCGTTGGGGATCAATAGGAAATGAATTTCAGACCGATACTAGCCTGCTGTTATAAGTCTCTGCATATGCTGAATCTGAAAGTACCACTTATAGTCATTATAGAACCAAACAGGTTGGAGCTTGCATGCTCAGTTGCGAACAGATGTATTTAGGTGCCAGTCTCTTCGGTTTGCCCATGGCTGCGATGCACAATAGCAGGGTTAATCTTGCTAAAATGTAATTTTCTTGAATTGTATATCCGTTCAGATTAATGAGCCGAGCAAATTTCTGTTGCAGATTTGGCCTGGTGAACCTAAAGCAGTTTTCTGATGCAGTGTTGCTGCAATCTGACACTAGGTGAGTTGTATCTGCTATTCCTTTTCCTGGCTATTTCCAAGTTGCAGTATTGCAAGATGATAACTTTGTTTTACCATGTTTTCTTTGCCACTTAACAACACCAGTCTGTTAATAGCAAGGTATTCTACACAATTTGGTCCAATATGGTTCTGTAGCCTTGCATATATATGAACGTTTCTATTCCACGCTGTGGTACTTGGACTTGGCTGGTAATAGTTTGGTATTTCGAGTTTAACCTGGCTCTGGTATTGTGGCACTTCGAATTTCAAGTTTCCAACCTATTTTTAACATAAATGGCTAGATGACACACTCAACCTGACTTTGAATTCTGTATGCTCCATTCAAAGTACATTTAAATGGCTGCTATTAAGATGTGGAGCAAAGTACCTGCTATAACTCAACCTGACTTTGAATTCTGTATGCTCCATTCAAAGTACATTTAAATGGTTGCTATTAAGATGTGGAGCAAAGTACCTGCTATAGATAGATTGTTACTGAAAACTCAAATCAGACCTTACATTATTTGAAGTGATTCATGCCATTGACAGCTAGATCAATTCCATGTTGAAATGTTAAATTTGTTTTGAAGCATCTTAAGAATTTACTTACCACCATAAAGTAGGCGTGATCCACGGAGACAGTAGCACTACCCATGCCTCGTCCCGTATCACAGCGAACAGCTGCTTCTATCCCTCACAATCTCATTCCCTGAATTGAAGGTACGGCCAATTTCTTCACTGCTCCCTTCTTAACTTTGCTATGGGATCTGTAGCTTTTAGTTTTTTCATAATGATTGGTTTCGAAAGCTAGATTCTGAAAAAGACTGAAATGAAAGAGTTTGTTGGGGGCACCGCACCATCAAGTACAACATCAGGTTTTAGTTTCATTAGCTTAGCTATGTGCATCTTATTTAGCCATATGCACAAATTCTGTGTACTAATTTCGACCATGTGTTCCTTTCTCAGACCCTCTTGCTGATATAACAAATACAAATGGTCTCGGTTTCACTAATAGACGGGGCAAGGGTAGAGCCAAGTCGTTATGTGTTGTTCGAAGAAACGACGAAGAGTGTCACGGCTCTAAAGAAAACTGTGACAACTCTGAACAGAACACTCCAATAGCTTCAAATGGTATGCTTCATCAGAATGTGTGTTTCCAAATTTAATTTGATATCCATCTGTATCAACCAACGCTGACTATATTCTTCTGATTTGGGCCATGAAGTGCATCCTATTGTCACGCCTAATAGTCAGTCATTTGCGGATGACCGCGATGCATCCTTCAGTACACCCAGCAATTTGCCTATGTGCACAGGTGCGCATGGAGATGTTACTAACCTTACCCATGCTGAAGTTGCAAGAAAGCGTGCTAGAAACTGGTACACATCATTGACCCAGGAGCAAAAGGATGAGAGGAACAAGAAGGACCATGAGAGAAGAAAACGGAAGAAGGAGGAAAGTCAAGTTTTAAAGTCTGCAACCAATAGTGGTGTAGGTAAGTACCCAAAAGGATCCAATATTTTGTTTTTACCATCCGCTTTAGCTTGAGTTGTAATATGTATCTGTACTAATAAAAAGTATCTTCGGTCGCTTTTTCGCCGTGTGAACAGCCCCACTTGGCAAGCTTTCCAATGTAAGTGCTGCTGATTTAATGACATGCCAATTGGAAGTGAACGATTCTTCTACGTTGAAGGTAAGACCAATTCATCTCGTTGTTACGTACACCTTGGATGAACAGTGTATTATTCGACATAATGGAAATTGATGGTTTCATGTTTTAATAGAACGAAGTGATGCTTCCCATCTTAATATCACACCCAGACGTCTCCCATTTACAATCATCAACAATGTAGCTCACTATGGTCCAAATGAAGTTCCAATGAGCTGCGTAATTCAAACAACCCAAAACAGAGACGTCAAGTTGCGTAATGCAACTCTTACACCGGAGCAGAAGCAAGCTAAGGTCGATCGACAGAGAACAAGACGTCAAGCACTAACCAATGAACAGAGACTAGAGATGAATGATCGCCGTAGGGTTGCAAGGCAAACTCTGCCGGATGTGGAAATACATGATATGAATGCTCGCCAGCGATCAAGACGACAAAGTGTTACTCCTGGAGAACGGTCTGCTCATCTGGCACGACGTAATGAACTGTATGCAGCTAGGCGTGACAAACCATGCACTCAATCGATTGCATTGGAGTGCCCTGAGGATTGTAGCTCGTCGTTGCTAAATCCAACGCCTTCCTTTGAAACAACCGGTGATGTGCCAGCTACATCGAGCCTGCAAACTGAACTTGCTGCAGATCATCTTGCACGATCGTCTAACTTTGATGATGGTATCATCTATATATGTTTTTATTTATACTCGCAATTTGTACCCTTCCTCATACTCACTTTATATTCAACTAAATTAGATATGGATTCCTTCATGGATGATGACACCGACGATGAACACTACATGTTTGCTGGGCTAGGTACTGTCGCCATCATACCTAAATCTCTCACTTTCACTTGTATGGATTTTTCAATCTATAACTCCTTTCCGCTATACCAGGCGATGATGAGGATGACGAGATGGTACAATCCGATGACGATGACACGCAAGCACCGAGCTCTTCAATTCCTGATCCGTTCGACTTTGTGTATAGCAACATCCCACAGAGCGAAAATGTTCTGAAACCTGAGCCTGACTGTAAACACTGTGGTGCCAAGAGGTTCCAGTACGAACCGCCGGGCTTCTGTTGTCGGGATGGCGAGATCAAGCTTGTAGAAAACGAAACACCACCTGAAATAGTTTCATTACGATGCCATATTTGTCTTTTCGATGCCATATTTTATCCCCCGTGATCAACAAAATTCCCCGTAGCAACGCACGGGCACCCTACTAGTTTTAAAAAGTAGGTGTGGAATATGGGTTGTGGTTTCTGAAAAAGCTTGTTTGGTTCAACAACTGTGGTTTTTGAAATAACTAGTCTCATTTACAAGTGGGCTCCACATGTCATACACACATTGAAAAAAAAAAGAAGAGGGAGAGATGGAGATGGCCATGGCCATCGACACGCCATCGCCGTCAGCCTCAGCGGTGGCAGCGCGAAGGCAGACGCGGGCAGGGAGGCGGCCGACAGTCGAGGAGGAGGAGGAGCGGCGGCGGCGGCTTGGCGAGGAGGAGGAGCGGCGTGCAATGGGAAGGGACGGGAAAAAAATAACGAACCGGTATGCATCATAACCAATGGCAGGTAGGTAAATATTTGACCCAAAAACAACTGAAAGCAGGGAGTGGAGGTGCTTTCAGCTTGTACTAGAACAAAAGCAGTTTTTGGGTAGAAGCAGTTATGGCTTTTGAGCCCTTTAATTAGCTTTTGGCTTTCTGCAAAAGCAAAAGCAGGGTCAAAAGCCCAACCAAAGGCACGGCTCTTGTTTGAGAAAAAGGAGAAAAGAGAAGATTGGGAAGAAACGTAAAATGAGGTGAGTCATTAGCATATGATTAATTAAGTATTAATTTTTTTAAACTTCAAAAATTGATTAATATGATTTTTTTAACAATTTATATATATATTTTTTAAAAAAACACCGTTTAACAGTTTAGGAAGCGTGCGCGCAGAGAACGAGAGAAATCTCCTCTTTCTCTCAATGGCTCAAACGCAGCATGCCCTTTCTAAACTCCAACTTTCCTGTTTTCCGTTAGCACATTTTCCAAAGTGTTAAACAGCGTATTTTTTGCAAAAGCTTTTTATATAAAACCTTTTTAAAATATTCAAATGAACTTACTCACTCCGTCCCAAAAAAAAAACCCAACCTATGACCCCTCCTAGAAGGATGAATCTGGTCACAATAATTAATTAATTATGTGTTAATTGCTTGCTCTGTTTTTCATGCTGCTAAAAAGCTCAATTATTATGTTTTATCGAACGCAGCCTTACTAGAATAGTTTATAGTTGTAGTGGAAAACTGGAAATGATAATTTTATAGGCAATGTCAGCATTTTGAAATTGTTGTAATGAAAAATAATACTAATAACTTGATGCATGAGATGACACAGAATAGTTTGTGTTGGAAACGATCTGAGACATCGAGGCTCCATCGTTTGGTTTTTTCCCTAATAAACCAGTACGTTTATTAGAGAATAAAAATAAATTTATAGGTAAAACTTTTATATATATCTATATTCTTGGTGACTTAAAAGCCAATATAAAAAAGAAACTACGTTGAAAATATCTTAAAATTAAGTTTGAAAATTTAAAATTTGGTTTTTTCTTTGGTTTATTATGCCATCCGAAGGAAGCCCCAATATTTTCGTGCTGTAAGCATGTGAATAATAAGGGGGAGAAAATAACGTGAAGCATAAGTGCATCATTGACGTCAGTGCTATATGTAATACTTTACAAAATACGGACTAATATAAGGGATTTTGACATTTTACTTGCACTGTTTGACCACTCGTCTTATTAAAAAAAATTGTGCAAATATAAAAAATGAAAAATTGTGCTTAAAGTACTTTGGATAATAAAGTAAGTTCAAAAAATAAATAATAATTCTAAAAATTTTTAAATAAGACGAATGATCAAACACAAGCAAAATGTCAAAATCCTTTATATTAGGGGGCGGATGGAGTAATATTTGAGGAGTCCATATAATGGACAAGTCAGAACTTAAATGACGCTTCAAAATGACCGTTCCTACCAAAACGATCTCACGTAATACAAATATTGCATAAAGCTTCATCTTTCTAGATGTACAAAGGATCACATCACTAAGGATCGACAAAAATTAAATTCTTGTTGTCGTAGCGATGAACTCGTGAGGGAAACACAGCAAGCATAACATGTACTTTCTCCGTTTCACAAGTTATTCTAACATTTCCTACGTTTATATTGATGTTAATGAATCTAGACATATATATATGTCTAGATTCATTAACATCAATATGAATATGAAAAATGTTAAAATGACTTACATTGTGAAACGGAGGGAGTACAAAGGATCATATCACCAAGGATCGACAAAATTAAATTCTTGTTGTCGTAACAATGAACTCGTGTGGAAAACACAGCAAACATAACCACTTTCATCGTACCTTGAAAACATGGTCTGGCATTTACTGTGGTCTGCCATGAACAAGGTTTTTACTGTGGATTCTCTGGCATTTCCACAAAGTTCGATACTTCCATTAAGCTAGGGTGTGTTTAGTTCCACGCTAAAATTAAAAGTTTGAAGAAAAAGGTTAAAGGTTTATGTGTGTAGAAAAGTTTTGATGTGATGAAAGAATTGGAAGTTTGAAGAAAAAGTTGGAACTAAACTAGGCCTGAACAAAATATTAGTACACTATCTAACTACAAGGCCACATAAATGAGCCAATCATTCAAGGACCAAGCGTACATGGCATATTGTTATCTAAATTACATCTCCAGCAGCACAAATAACTGTTAAGCTTCTAAATTGTCTGAGTCTGAAATAAAGGCCTACAGAGAAAAGAAAAATCTGAAGATTACTCTTCCCTTGCACAATGTTGTCCTTGAGTTGACCAGCATTTTCCACAGTTTCACTAGCCTATCCTACAGTCACAAGAAAAACAGTATTATCAGTCATCGAATTGTTTTATTGAACATAAATACCATACTTCCGAGCTCAAACCATACAGAATAGGCGCGGAAGGAAATAAGCTGTCGTAGCTACATGACACAGATCAAGTTTAGGCATTTCAACTGACTACTCAACTTTCAGTCATAACAATCTTACTGTAAACCTTGTGCTTATTGTTGATAAAATCCCAGAGAAATCCTGACTGACTGGCCAACCACATTCCCTCACCACATACAAACACAAAACAGGAGAGGGAGGGATGGAGAAAATAAAAGGAAAAACAAAAAGGATTCCTCCACTCATTTTTTTTCAACAAATCACAATTCGTACCAAAGAGGAACAATTCAGCTCTCGTGCAAAAGCACATTGAGAGACTCAACCATCTTTCCTGTATAAAGGAAAAGAGGATATTCATAATCTAGATTATAAAACAGCTGTAATTCCATTTGAAATATATCTATACTCCTCTAAAAGATAATAGTGGTAGGGGTGAGTGGTGAATGCCACCATTGACCATCCCCACCAACTCCCTACTTTTTTGACGGTGAAAAAAATAAAAGTGTGGGCCAAAGGGCCCACCTGTCCGCTCAAAGGTATATGGAGAATTTAAGAGATATGTAAGTAATAGCAAAATGGGTTGATGATGTTTTTTTTAAAAAAAAATTACGTTGCAACGCATGGGGAATATGCTAGTCAAACTGAAACAAAATTTTGTTCGCCTAGACAGAAAACAACTCGCAAGGCAAAATATCACTGCACAGAGAACTAATAACTTCATAAGAGATATGAACGATTGTAAGGGAAGTGCATACTTTCTCTTTCTACCACCCTGTCCACCCATGACATTTCTCATGTCGTTCTTTGGGATATTGGTGCCAGGAGTTCCTGCAAACTGCATAGGAGACATGGCAGATGCACCAGCTGCTGACATAGGTAGCAAAGCTGATGGGGGTGCAGCAACAGGTGGAACCACAGTCGACGGCACTGATGCTGATGGGGGCACCGCTGCTGGTGCAGGTGCTGGCGTGGGAGTTGGTTCAGGAGGAGGGCGGGGTAAGATGTGCTTTAGCCTATTGTTCCTATAGTTTTTCCAGAAGAAATATTGCTGCCTATGAGCAACTTCCTGCGAATAATTTGATGGAAGGAATTAATTTGTAATACCAATGCTAATTAAGCACAACAGACAAAACAAAAATATGAATATGTGGTACAACATGAACAAGCTTGATATCCTTGCAATTTTGAGTTGCGCCCTAACTAATTCATAAACAAATAAAGATGTCCATTCATAAGTCTGTAAGAACATCCATAGTAAAGTTTTAGCTCATCCCTATTCAATAACAATCTACAGTTAATACACTCCAGATAGACAATTAATAAAATGGGAATTTGAAAGGATGTTATAGAACAGTACTATAAAAAGGTTGACAAATGGTGCATGTGTAATTCTAGGAAAAAGGGATTCAAAGGATCACCTTGCTTGCTGGATGTGCCATTGCATTCCGGAAATTCGCATTTTGGAGGAGCTCAAGAAAGAAAAGGCAGTGTGGATACCTGCATCATCAGCAACCACTATGAACAAAGGTATTTCGTCACAGCAGGCACCTACTTGCAGATAAATCTAAATTATAGGGCCACACACATTATGTACTTGATGTACTCCGGACGCTGCCAATACTTGAGATACTTGAGATAACCGATAAACGCCTCATCCTCAAAGTATCTGTTCTGCGCTAGATCTGTTTCAACATAAGAAAAATTAACAAAGCCAGTATTCCATTTTGGTACTCATCTTAAAAGTTTGAACCTACTGACAATATCAGAAGCATTGGGAGTAATGGAGCATAAGAAAAAGATAATCCAGGCATACATATCTTCCTACCGACCAGCACACACTCCAATTACACGTCCTATCTGCGATACTAACAAGCTAATTACTTTAGGCAGGCTATCACACTTGCTGACCAACGCAATTGAATCGCATGTTGCTTGTCTCTTCTTAAGAACATCAAGTCAAAATTAAACCTGCCGTAGTTGTTCTAAAAATAAAACATGATGGTTGCATTACCAACACCACAATCCAGATTGGTTACGAAGAAACGAAGTTAGCTATGTGCTATCACCCAAAATTTGTTTCAGAAACCTAATAAAATGACCCGAGGTGAAATCCAAACCAAGTGAAACGAGAATTACAGTGGATGTAGGTAGGGTTGGCGAGGCACTGGATGAACTCGAGCTCCAACAAGAACCGCTGCCTCGCGTCGTTGGGGTCAGGCGGCGCGGGCCTTGCCTCCGCCTCCTCCATCAGGCGGTCGAAGCAGTTTGCTAGCAGCGCTGCTCCGGCTGCGTGCGCTCGGACGGGAAGGGGAAGCGAGCGCCGCTCCCCTCGTGCCCCTGCCTCTCCCTTGGACGAAGCCTAGAGCAAAGGGCAGCAGCAGCGGGGATGGCGGCGGCGCAGCCACCAGATCCGGCTCCCGCCTGAGCCCCGCCGGCGCGGATGGGACGCCCACGAGAGGAATTCCGCCGGACCTGGCGCCGACGAGTCCGCGCTCACAACGCCCGAGCCGCACCGTCGACGGCGGCTTGGTGAGATCAACCGGCCAACGTGTGCGTGTGCACGCGATTTTCTTCTCTAGGGGTACAATGGTCTTTCGGTGTGTTTTTTTTAATCATTTTTTGTTTTTTTTTCCGCTTACAACGCACAAACACCACCGCAGTCTACACACACAACATCGCACTTATACCCTCATATATATATATATATATATATATATATATATATATGCTCCCTAACATATCCTATCTTACTATAAAGTTATCCCCCACTAACTCCTTAAGCTTAACATGTAAAGATGACACATCATCATCCACTAATTATCAAGATGCCACATCATCATCCACTAACAATCATCACATTTAAACATCATGCAAACACGCTATATCTTTATAGTTTTTATAATTTAAGAGCTTTTCAAATACAAACATGTTAAATTAAATTATCATCTAACATAATTCACATAATGTTTCAATGTATATCTTTATTACGTTTTATGATAGCCTATATACTTATATAGTTCATCCTCACTTAGTTAGTGCTTAAATGATTAATCTATGGTCCAAATTATCTTTCTCCTTTTTCCTCTAATTAAGTCATATCACATCAATTGTTTTTACCCTTTAGATGATTAATCTATGGTCCAAACTATCTCCCTACTTTTTTTCTTCCATAAAGTCATACCATCTTACTTTTTTACATTGGAATCACCATTCTACATACTATTTAAATTTAAATTATCATAAACCATATTAATTTACTTAATTTAATGTTATCTAGCTATCTTACACGTTATTTTTTTTATTGTTATCATACTAAATTCCTGCAGCAATGCGCGGGGTTTCACCTAGTATCATAAATGACGGAGGGCATGTTTGGATTAGTACCAATTTATGCTATGCCAATATTTTGGTAGTTTCGAATAGTACTTTAATAGCATTTGGATTGTGACCAATTTTTGCCTCGCTAGTAATAAATCTACTATATCAAATTTAATAGTGTCAAAACTTGCCTAAGTTTTAGCACTACAAACATTTTGGTAAGGCCTCAAACCAAATCAGCCCGGAAATCAGCTGCATGTCTCTGAGCTTACTAAAATCCAGTCAAATACGCACCTATACATGTATGTAGTATTCGTGAGCACTAGCATTTGAATCCCGCTAGATGGAGTCATGCACGCACGAGGCCACGACCCTACCACCCCATCACTCCATTTTTGCCTTTTCTTTCTAATTCTTCAACTCAATGCATAGAGAATGAAAGAAATATTATTATTATTATTACCTTTTTTAAAATTTTATAAAAAATCTTTTTAAAACTTATTTCCAAAATCTGAACCATTTGGTCACGACAACCGTGCGGATTTGTCAGATTGTTTTGTTATCAAGTTTGGTTTATTGAAATATAAATAAAAACTATCGCCAACTCCTGAATCTTTTTTCCAGTTCTGATAAGACCTTGATAGCAGAAGATCTTTGTGAAGATGCGTCAACATGATCTGAGCAGACTGTTTACAATTGATGGACCTTGATATAGTTTTCTATTACTTCTTTGATGTAAATTTCTCAAAACTGTGGTCCCGTCAGATTCATAGTTTACCGAGAAAAACGATGATCAAGTGTTAATGAGAAATAGATCTAATCTTTTTATTTAATTTATATCTGAGTGGAACTGTTCTAACAATGAGTCTCCTTGATAATCTGTACTCCATATAATCATTTGCTTAATCTGCAATACACGTTGCCACTTGCAAAGCAGCAGCACAGTATATGTTGTTATGTACTTTTGGTTTCTCCTGTAACGATTGAGTGGTGGAGTTATTGTAGGTTTGGCACAAAATGGTGCCAGATGCTGAAAAATTAGCAATAAGTGGGAAACATGCTTCATAATGAGATGAGACCATTTCGCTCTGATTATGCAAAGCATGATATGAGTCATGCGGCATTGACAATGAATTCTCTCTTTGCAATATTTTATTACCTTCATTCAATGTACCAATACTACACGATGGCCTGATAGCCTGTCGATATATGAGGATGCTGTTGATGAAGCGTAAAGTGAATAAGTCTGTTATACCTTTTTATGCATTCTAAAGGTAAGTACAGTTATACATATTTTGCCAATGTTGGTTAGTATGCACCATTTTAAGTAAAGATTGCATTTTAAAAATAACTTCTCAATATCACCGTAGCTTCAGCCACATGCATGTTACATCTATCTAATTCGATTCAGTTTGCTATATTTTCAAAGAGGGGAAGTAGAAGATAACCGGATTGAGATTCAGTTTTGGTCGACATTTTTCTTCCTCCTCATCAAGTGTATTATCGAAATTTGTAGATATGCGAAGAAACTTTTTTTTATGTGGTTAGTACATTTACACTCTCTAAGAGTGATTTTCTAATACATTATTAGAAGCACCACGATAGAACCTATTATCCTCTAGGTCCCTGCTGAGTGCTGACTGATTACGGATTAGTTGTATCAATACAATGGCTGGGGAGAGGCTAGGGTCAAATGTCATTCAGATTCGAAGTAATTTACCATAAATTCGGCATCGTGTTCAAACCTATGAACAAATTTACCCCAATTTCATAAAATTTTCATTTCCCAACCGGAATCAATTTCCTAGTCAACATGCCTGAATTCTGGTTCTCATAGTGGTAAATCATGCAGCAATTACAACCATTTGTATATCGTAAATCATGCAGCAATTACAACCATTTGTATATCCTCCATGTGCAAACACATTCATCCTTTCCATTAAAAATGAATCAATTTCATTACAAGGGAACACACGATGTTACAATGATATAGTAACATTAGCTTTCAAAATTTTGGAATTTGGATCATAGATCCTTCTTCCTGCCTACTGATCTAGAATGGGAGTTCAACATCCATTGCTTGTAATTGGTGTACAATGTTAAAATGACAAATTGGGAAAAGCAAATGAACATCATCAATGCATCAAAGAGGAAAGGGTACCTCTTTGGAGGTTCTATTTGCAGGTATAGAACTTGAAGTAAGAGCGAGCATAACAATGCCAGACTTAGAACTGCCTTGGCTCCAGATGGAATGCTCATCCCCTTTTTGGAGCTTCCACCAGGAGAGTAGTAAATAAGAACGAAGAGACCAAGAACAGCTATATATTGTAGAAGAAGGTGATCACGGCAGATAAGTGGGTACATTGAGAAAAGGCCAAAGTACATGAGCCATCCATACAAGTGAGGTTCTTGTAGTGCTAAGAGGCTTGCAGGCAAAAGAGGAAGCAAAATTGATTTCTCGTGCACTGCAAACAGGTAACCAAATGAGATTAATGAAACATTATATATCTTCAGTAAATCAGAACCTATGAACTTAGTGAGGTTTAACATACCTTGGTATGAGAATAGATAGAACGAAATTGAGCTGTTCAACAAAGAATAGAGAAAGCCAAGATTACTTGGTGATCTGATTTGCTGAACCAATGAAGGCAGGAAAGCCAAGATGGTAGCAGAGAGACTCATGAGTTTCAGCGGTTTTATTGCAAACAATCTCTTCCACTTAATAAGGACTGAAGTGCTACACCAAAAATTGGCAACATAATCCTCATATATACCTCGCTCAAATGGAGCTAATCGAGAGATCACCTAACAAGATATAAGTAATAAGATTAATATTGCTTGACAACCTTACAAAAAAAAGTTGCATGTGAAGGATTAGTGGTAGATCAAGAAAATGCTACATATTACACTAAATTTTATACGCTACAGAATATGGCTTGCTTGTAAAAAATGTAACTGGGACGGTACATATACCATTTACCTGCATAGCAGCCTCATAAGAATGCAAAAATGGCCACCAAACAAAAGCAAAGGTTCCCAGTACAACAAAACCAAATTTCATGACCTCAACAATTGGATACTTCCGCTTGATACATTTCCCCAAAAGATGTCCGAAAAAAGCCGGTGCAAAGTAAAGGCTCATCTGCAACATACAACATATTTATAAGAACCTAATACTGTCTCTTGGATTATGCAAAATGGTACAGATTAGTAGTAATGAAGTATCACAGACATTGTAGTAGATTGTAGTTCATTTATAGGATTGGTAACTGTCTAATTGAGCATTCATATGTTACTCGATTTGCCGACAATGTGGCACCTTGCACATCCATCTCTCTAGCAATTAGCAACCCATTCTACTTCTACCTCAAGCTAGTTGGTGATCCATTCAATATGTATAAAATGTTGAGAGTTAACACTGCTATTGCAACAACCTACATATGTGACTCTGCCTCATGATTGTTTATTGCTATATTGCATTATTTCAGGAGTTACATTACAACCTAGCGCAGCATTATGTACCTTTCATTTTTCTGATCACTAAGTACCCAGGAATCGTTGGTACCACATTGTAGAAAGGATCAGTTTACTGTTAATACAATTTCCAGAGGGATGATGTGCACTGCAATTGGCATTTACAGTGAACGTTCTTACAGGAAGTTTGTGTGGATATGAAAACACAGAATTATGTAGGGAATGCAGGTTTTACACATTTGGCCACGCCACATAAGAATCATATAATAATTCTCCAGACAAGAGGGAAACCTGTTTGTGGTTGATTGAAAGACTGAAGAGAGCAGCAGCAACAAGCTCGTTCCCAGACAGAACACCCGCAATCGCTCCAAGCGTCAATCCAAGGCTGATGCAATTATACTGAAACATAGTAACTACTTATCAACAAATGAAAAAAAAAATGTCATACAGCCCACTCCAATTCACACAGGTGTTCCTTGTCAGTATTATTCCAACCTGAAAATGGCCATGATCAATCAACACTAAACATGGGTTAATCAGGCAACTGGCAAGCAACCACGTCCAACCCGCCATTCTCTCCTCCCCAGTTCCGCCAACTCCACACTTAAAGTACACCCAGACGAACCACAGCGCCGCTGGGAAGAACACCATCAGATCGGACGACAGCACCGTCCAGCGCATCAGCAGCTTCCTGAAGGAAACAGACACCGAAAAGGCATCAATAGTGCATCAAAACGAACAATTTCACAACTCTATTTGGGAAGCTTCTAGCAGCTGCAGCTTCTCCCAAAATCATAAGCTCCTTCAAACAATCCAGTTTTTCGTTCAGATAATTATAGTTGTAGAATCCAGAAAATAAACTAAAAATCAGAAGCTGGAACCTTAGCTTTTTCAGATTCTCGGAAGCTAGCTACCAGCCAGCTGATTCTCAAAATTAAGTTCCCAGAACAGGCCCTACACAAACAAGCAGTAAAGACAGTAAAATTGGAGGAAACTTACGATTCAGGGGACTCGAAGCCGCGGGAGGAGCGGAGGGCGACGGCGTCGGGGAGCGACGCGTTGAGCAGGAGGCCGTGGAGGCGGCTCTGGTAGGCCGAGAGGGGCGGGTAGTCGAGGCCCCAGTAGGCGAGGTCGTTGGCGGAGGTGTTGCGGTACCAGTCGGAGGAGGGGAGGTGGAGGGTGAGCTCCATCCAGTGCCGCTGGGCCTCGTAGTCGCCGAACTTGGGCGCCACGCCCTGGCCGGAGTAGGGCCCGACGGAGACGAGCACGCGGAGGAGGAGCGCGGCGAAGGAGATGAGGAGCGCGGTGGAGATCGGCGGCGCCGGCGGGTGGTGCCATGGGAGGTGCGCTGGCGGATCTGGGGCGGAGCTCCTCGGCTTCTTCGTCTTCGCCATTGGTTCCCCCTGATTGTTAGCAAAATCTCCACGCGCGACGGAGGCGGAGGTGTACCGGCTGATCCGACACCCCCCAAGCCTCCCCGCCGACGAGTCCTCGCACGCAGCCCGGGCACTCGCCGCCGCCGCCACCGCGCGAACGCTCGCGTCCACCGCCTGCCGAGCTGCGCAGCCACCAGATCTGGGTTCCACCGGAGCCCCGCCGGCGCCGGATAGGGCGTCCTTCTCGAGAGCAACTGCCGCCGGATCTGGCGCCGACGACGGCGAGTCCTCCTGCACCAAATTCCTCCTACGCCGCTTCAACCGAGCCGCGCGCCGAAGCATTGGTGCATAGCTGGCCGAATGGGCCGGCCCGGGCACGTCCTTACTGTAGCCGGCCCAGGCACGGCACGGCACACCGGCCTTGATTTGGGCCGAGCAGGAAGGCCCGTTTGCCCGTGCCGTACTAGGCCAGCACCTTAGCCCATGGGCCTGAACGGCTGCATACGGGCCGGCATGAGCACGGCCCAGCCGGCCTATCTATTTTCCTTTACTGTTTTCTAATGGGATAAGTTCATTTAACACCGCTCACTCTTGTCTGTCTAAAATCACCACAAACTCTAAAACCAGCTATCCTACACCCTCTAACTATCAAAACCTTTCAATTTACCCCTCCCCCGGTCAGGGGCGTTCTATACTAGAATAAGTTTTTTCAGTGATCTATTTATAAAATAAATTGTTGAAAATGATTGTAAAAAATCTAGACTCCCCTTGTGAATTCATGTGACAACCATATACTTCCGCCGAACACATATGTTCATGTAAACCCCGTGAGAATAATACATTTTTCAAATTATTCTGTGCGTGCGCACATGATTGTATTCTCTAGGGTTACAATGGTCATTTTGTGTTTTCTAAATCATTGTTGCTTTTCCTTTCTGTTCTTTAACTCAACAAATCCAGGGGTACCAAACAGCCATCCAAAACAGGGCAAACTAAAGCTATGTTTCGTGGAAGCAAGAGAAATCACAAACCCTAAATAATAAGGGCATATTCGTATTTGTATCTAAAAAGTAGAGGCAAGAAGTAATTGTCCCTAACCAAATAAAGATAGATTGGATGAACTATTAATGAATCTTTTAAATTTTAACAATAAACTATTTCAATACTTAATTCAAAACCTGGACTTTTATTCACACGGCATGATAATTTTGTTTTACCATACCAACTAGGATGGTGTACTACCACTGGCATGCAAATATTGCTTTGTCACGCAGCTAATTGTTTTGGATTTAGTAATCGATTATGGGTTAGTTTATTTTTTCTCTACTATTATAAAATTGAAGATGTTTCCGCCAATCCGTTTGGTACGTTGCGATTGTGTCCCGATTCTGCTACGCACCAATCTTGTGTTAGATTTCGCTACGCGCAAATCGATTGCATTGGTTCCACTTTGTCCCAATGACACCGATTCTGCTTCGCCACACACTGTTTTTTTATACCATCACATGCATCATAAAATACACATGCACAATTAAAATTGTATTCACTTGTTGTAACACACGGATATTCTTGCTATTAAAATTAAAATTTAAAATAGGTTTAAGAAATGAAAAAGAATCATGTGGTAGCAATATCATTGGACGTGTGTTGGGACTTTGGATTCAACATCACAAAAGGAACAACCAAGCAAAACATCCGTTCGTGGTAACCACGCCGCTGTCCTCCAGGCTCCAGCTGCCTCCGACGCGGTGTCGACTCATGGGTGGGGCCCACCTGCGCACCAAACGCCACCCCTTCAGCGGGCCCCACGTCCAGGGAGGCAGCAGAGAGACACCAACGGATTTTCGCCCAGTCGTCTCCGTCGATGTCGCCGACAGGTGGGCCCTACAGCGCCGCACTGGAAGCCCGGCGCACGTGGGCCCGCCCGCCCGACACGGCCGGTGTGTTTTGCCTCTGACAGAGTGGCAGCCGACCCGACGCGGTGTTCCAGATAGCACAAGAATATAAAAACCTCGCAAATGGAAAACATCAGAATTCGGAAGTTTTTCCCAAAATCATCTTATCGAATCTTTAGACACATGCATATAGCATTAAATATAGATTAAAAAAAAACTAATTTGCACAGTTAGAGGTAAAATCGCGAGACGAATCTTTTGAATCTAATTAGTCCATAATTAGCCATAAGTGCTACAGCAACATACATGTGCTAATGACGGATTAATTAGGCTTAAAAGATTCGTCTCGCGGTTTCCAGAAGAGTTATGAAATTAGTTTTTTCATTTGTGTCAAAAACCCCTTCCGACATCCGGTCAAACATCTGATGTGACACCCAAAAATTTTTATTTCGTGAACCAAACAGGACCAAGTTGTGCTACGGCTACATGGGCAATGACTTCGCTTTCACTCACGGTAAGTGAACAATCACTCAATCAGTGCTCTTTGGGTCATCTAAAGTTCTAAACTACGATGGTTAATAGACTAAAAATAGCAGATTCAAGCTGGCACAGATCCAGTGGCTTTGGAGTAGACACTAGTCGATAAACGCCAAGTAAGTGACGAGACAATTTTGCGATGAAAATTGACAAACAAAGAGAATTGTCATTTCATTTGTGTTAGTACTAGTAGTTCACTATCGGAAATCCTAGCTTGAAGTGCAAAACAAACGAATAAACGTAAAAAAAAAGTAATAACATAATTTCGCAAGAAATCGCACACGTAGTTTAGAATTTTATTTTCCCTGGGAAAATATTGTGATGGAAATAAGGTTGAAATATGAACTCATGTTATTATTATTAGGAACTAGGAAATGAGGTGGATATATGAACTCATGTTGCTATTAATTTAGAACAAGCAGCTATCCACATGATTTATCGTACATGGATGCATTGAATCCAAACTATGCCTTCTGAATGCCTTTTCGTTTATGTATATACTTATTCGAACAACTTATTACTACTACAAACTAAAATATAGTTTATATGTAAAAGTTTTATATACATATTCTTAACGATTTAAAAGCAAATGCTATAAAATAAACTACAATAAAAAAATATAAAATTAATTTCAAAATTAAGTTCAGAAATTCAAAATTTGGCTTACAAACCATTGTAGCACTGACGTTTAACACACTTTCAATTCGAATCAAAACTTAGTCATATATAAAACCAACTAAATAAAAAAAAGATCAATTTCTCCTGATTCAAAAAAAATTATAAAAAAAACTTCTTACTTGCATGTGAACACCTCTTTGTCGGTTTTTCCATGTTCCTCTTTCCCCCCTCTGCAAAAAAAGCCAATTTTCCATGTCAACAAGGGGACCACCTATATATTTGTCGACAAATTTTCTCCTAAAAATTTGACAGATGTAATTATAGTACAATCGTAGTGTAATTACACTGTAACTTATATATAATTACATTGTAACTTGCATGTAACTACAGTGTAACTTGCATATAAGTTTCACGTAATTTTGAATCGTTAAATCTATTACAAGATTTGTTTTGGTGAGGAAGAAAAAAAAATCACAGCACAAACATATGTGTAAGAATTTGTTCCCACAACCTCCATTTTACCGAAATAACATATTACAAAGAGATTTTTGAAAGTTACATACAAGTTACACTATAGTTACAGTGTAATTACATGAAAGTTACAGTGTAATTAAACTACGATTGTACTGTAATTACATCTGTCAAATTTTTAGGAGAAAATTTGTCGACAAATATATAGCAGAATCGGTCAACAAGACTTCTCGTACTGCCATGGACACCGGCCCAACCTGCAGACAGTAACAATTTAACAACAAAAACCCGGTGGGACCCACCTGCCAGTGGCAGATATGCCAGCTTAACCCCCACCACCTCCCCTTAAAAAAGTATCTCCACCTCCTACGGTACAAGGGCCACGCCACGCCTAACTCTCTCCCTCTCTCTCTCCTCGCCGCCGCCGCCGCCTCCACGTTTCTCTCTCCTCGCCGCGCGCCGGCGAGACCTCGCCGCCATGAACAATCTCCTCACCGTAAGTAGCATCCTCCTCCCTCCTGATCTCCTCCTCTCTCTTTTGCTGCTCGCGTCGAGTGGTCGGGGACACGGGATCCAGTCACCTGTCACCCCCAGTGGTGCAGCGAGCTCGAGATCTGCGCGGGCGGGGGGTTGTCATGTGCGGGCTTCGGGAATTCGGGGGAGGTGGTCGCCGCCGGTGGTGCTGCTAGGAGCAGCTGTGGTTGATTGGGTTGTTTTTTTTTTTTTTTTTGCGGCGGTGGAGGAGTGGTAAGGAGGTGGAAGCCGGGAAGGGATTGCTTTGGCGTGGCGTGGGGGAATCGGAATGCGTCGGTAGGGGCGGGAAGGAATCGTCTGGGTTTCTCTGCTGCTCGGCGAAAAATTTGCAGCTGTCGGGATGATCGGGTTAGATCTGCTGGTTTTTGCTCCGAGGCAGATGGGCTTGTGAATTGTGATTGGAGCAAATGGGCATGTGGTGCTACTGGTTTCGCCATGGTTGCCGTGGAGCTCTTCTGGGCGTATAAGGGTTGGGTGTTCTGTTTGTCTCCGAGCTTTCTGAATAGCTTTTGATGTGAAGTGATGCATTGATATTGTTTGTTGCAGTCACTATCGAATTACACTTGTTGTATCAATGCTATTAGCTGTTGCAGTTTTAGTAACTCGTAATGTTCGAATTTCCGTGGGTTTGATGTGCTGAAGAACTCCAGAATGTTTCCTTTTGCAATCTAAGGGTCTGTGACGTGTTTATTTGCGCAGAGCGCATTTCGTTAGGAATTTTGCGCACTTCATAATGGCAAGTAAAATGAAATAATAAAAATACCTTTTTAGGGGAAGTTATCTGTTCTGTCGCGAATACACTGGCCTGTAATTAATGTGCTATTCTTCATTGGGCCTCAATCTTGTTATTTACTTATTTTTAGCTGGTGCAAGTAGCACAGATGGCTTATTGTATTGTTTTATAGTCTAACCTTCTTCTTGTAAGCAGTGAGGCACATTTGTCCGTATTATAACATTCCAGTTTTACAGGATTCGTTTGAGCTCCCTCGGGGAGGCTCTTCAAGAGATGGGGACATTGAAATGGGAATGCAAGCTGATCCTTCAGACAATCTAAAAGGTTTCTTGAAAAAGGTGCTGTTTACAAAGCATTTTGGTGTGTGCATCTTGCATTTTGCAGCAGTATTATATTACCCACTTACTAGACACTTCATATTATTGACATCTTGCTTTGATACATCAGGTTGACGCAATTGAAAGCCTAATTGCTAAGCTGACGAATCTCTTGCATAAGCTTCAGGTTTATTTATCTCACACTTCCATTCATTTCTTTCTGTTTCTGGTCCTTGTCTTGTTCTGATGATATTGATTTTCGTAGTACCAGAAATATAATGTTGTGTCTAAGTTTTGATGAATTCATTTAGCATCTTGAATTTTCATATACACCTTACTTTTGCTTGTAGACTGCAAATGAGGAATCTAAAGCGGTTACAAAAGCAAGGGACATGAAAGGTGAGTACTTAGTTTAGTATATTTAACCTTGTCTAAAAAGTTCTTGTACACTTTTGATAACCCACTTTACCTATTGTTGATGCAACAATTATTTTTCCATAGCAATTAAACAGAGGATGGAGAAAGATATTGATGAAGTGGGGAAAATCGCTCGCATGGCAAAGACAAAAGTTGATGAATTGGAAAAAGATGTATGTCACTTGGCCCTGCTAGCTAATGGCATTGTATTAATTTGCCATATCTGCGTAATATTCTGTTTTTATTTCATGTGTCTGCACTCTATATACAATATATATAAATCATCAACAGTCATATAGCACTGCAGTAAGTAACAAATTGACCATGTCTATCCAACGTATGCATTATATTTTCATAAGAGCATTCTCTGCAACTTGTATCACAAGGTTATGATTTAGTAGTGCCCCTAAAACAAATTGTAGGATTTGCTATACTTTTCACTAAGCCATCTCACGTGCTAGTGTCATTTGTCAATAGCAACATTGAGTTGTCTCTCACTGTTCGCTGCCATGTGAAACAGAACTTATCAAACAGACAAAAGCCTGGATGTGGGAAAGGATCTGCGGTAGATCGATCAAGAGAACAGACTACTGGGTAAATTTACTGGCGATTTGTTTTTTTTTCCTGGTTCTGTAGAGTGCATAAAGCCATGAATAGTTGTTCATCCACTATGCTTGCTAAATTCTACAGAGCAGTGAAAAAGAAATTGAAGGAGCGCATGGATGATTTTCAGGTACTGAGTTTCCTTATCTGGAACACCTAACTTGCCATTTATGGGGTGATTCTGCTATTCCGTCAACGATCATTACACAGTTAAACTACTGCCATATTTCATTTTCTCGGTCTGTTAGACATGCTTCTTTGAGCAGCAGAGAAAAAACACATTGTTTTTCCATTGCTAGAAGCTATCCAAGTATAAGATTTATTGTATAGCATTTCATGAGTAGTGGGTGTCTATACTGATACCTGTATCTACTTGAAGTAAAAAGGAAAAAAATACATTGGTGAAATATGTTATGGTTTGTACTTTCATCAGCTGTCTCTGCTGCTATGATTCAATTCTTAGTCACTATGAACACCTGCTAGGACTAGTGCAATGCCCCTAAAGTGGTGACTTGTGAGTAATGCCCCTTTACCCTCTGATGTAGGTTTTGAGAGAAGCAATCCGGCAGGAGTATCGTGATGTCGTTGAAAGAAGGGTGTTTACAGTAACTGGTAGTCGTCCTGATGAAGAGGTATACAATGACAGGATCTCTGCAGTTCTGACTTTTGGTTAAATTTGTTTTCTTCATGCCTTTGCTTTACAGTGAAAATTTTGATCTGTGGTCTGATGATCTTCGATTTACACTATTTCTCATGTTGTTGCTTTGTACTATGTAGACAGTTGACAATTTAATAGAGACTGGAAGAAGTGAGCAAATTTTCCAAGAAGCTATCCAACAGCAGGGAAGAGGCCAAGTATGTTATCCAATATATGCATTTCTTTCTGTATGGGATAATGCCTTTTTGGGGACCAACTACATTTTTGCGGTTCTGCCTGTTCACAGTACTAAAATCTCAACCATATTTGTCTTTCCAGATACTGGACACTGTTGCAGAGATACAGGAACGTCACGATGCTGTAAGAGATCTAGAGAGGAAGCTTCTGGAGTTGCAGCAGGTGACTTTTTTGACATAAGCACTTATTTACTAATCTGATTTAATCCATATGCTTGTGAGCTCGAGTTAATGTGCCTAATTACTCCATTCCTTGTTTTTGCCTTGTAGATATTCATGGATATGGCAGTTTTGGTTGATGCTCAAGGAGACATGATCAACAACATAGAGACACATGTAAGAATTGCCCACTCTTGCACCAAGTTATACATGTTCTTGGAAGCAAGACAAACTGTATATCACCAAGAATTCACCTTATTTTCGTTTTCTCTGCTTCAAGGTTTCAAATGCTACCAACCACATACAACAAGGCGTCAGTGCTCTACAGAACGCGAAGAAGCTCCAGAAGAACTCCAGGAAGTGGATGTGCTACGCCATCATCCTCCTGCTCATCATAGTGGTGATCATTGTCGTCGCCGTCATCCAGCCATGGAAGAAGGGTGCTTGATTGTAACTTGGAAAAAGAAGATCGTGGGATATATTTTTTTCCCTGTTTGTGCAATATGTGTAGTTGTGTCTCCGATTCCCTCCTACCCCTGTACGTATGCTTAACAAAACAACATGATGAGATTGAGATTCGTTTGCCCTTAGGCGCAGGTTGATTCATCTTCATACCAGATTTCCTGTGCAATCTACCACGCCAGGGGTTATGTGTGAAACAATGGTCCCATCAGTCTCAACAAAAATTGTGAATTCCTGGATCTTTTACAACATTGCAGCTGTGCCTCTGTCTAACAAACAATCTTGCATGCTATGCCGTAGCTGTAATGCTGCTGCATTTGCAGCTCACTCATCTGGTGATGCAGTATCGTCGTCGTCGACGTCCAGTGTCTTGAAATACTTGCCGTCCAACAGGTAGGTTCCGATGGCGAGCCGCACGGCCCAGACGTCCTTCGGCTTCCGCGCCATCACCCTGCTCGACGTATGCACAATTGCACATGGATGTCAGTGTAATTCAAATTCCTGTAGTAACGTTCTTCGTTTTGTTTAAATTTCTCTGGAATTCTCTTAATGTTCGCTGCAAATTCCTATTTTCAATGTTTAAAAAAACAAAAAAAAACTACATTCATTTTTAAATAACTGACAACTGACACTATTCGCTTTCAAACTTTTACCATTCGTTTTTAAAAATATTTGCAAACACTAGAAGAGATGTTATAGTATTAAAATGTGTTATGTCCTAGTCATAATCATGAAACATTTGTTCGCTTTAGTTCAACTATTTAAGAGCAATTAGTGGTCAAAGTTTAAATAACAAAGTCACCGTTGTCATTTAGGAGTTGAAAATGGAGGGAGTATCACTAAGCATTGAATTTCTGTGTCATGTTCTTCGTTTTGTTCAAATTTTTGTGAAACTCTCTTGATATTCGCCCAAAATTCCTATTTTCAAGCTTCAAGAAATAAATCACTACTACTGCATTGGATTTCCTACTTCCATCGGATGGCAAATGCTTTCGCTGATCAGCCATTTAAGCAAAATAAGCTAACCAATTTGCATTGAATTTTGGCAGAATTGGAGGTAGCTTTGGCTGATCAGCCAAAGTATTTGACCAACCGTCACCACGATTTCCTTGTGACGACCTTTTCCGCGCCCGAGACAACTCGCCGCCGCCATCCCGTCTCGCCTCACGGTTGGCCGGAGGCTCGCTCCGGCGGCTAGGTTTCGCACCCCGAGCCGCCCAAGCAGGGACGAAGCGGTGGTCCGAAATTATACTTCCAAATTCCAATGCATAGAAGAGCATATCACAATAAGCATCGGATGGAATCGTAGTTCTACCTCCCGACGTCGCCGGCCTTGACCTGGCCGGCGTTGTGCCTGAGCGACGGCACCGACGCGGCGGTCTTGAGCATCACCGGTGCCTCCACGATGACGATGGGAGACCCGACCCTGAGCTTGCCTTTCCCGCCGCCGCCGCCGCCGTCTCCACCTCGCCCGCTATCCGGCGCGCACCGGACGACGCCGACGACGCCGCGTCTTCGCACGGACGAAGCCGCCGGCGACGCGTAACACGACGGCGACACGGCTGCGGCGGCGGCCGCTGCCGGAGACGGAGCTGGGCCTATCATCGTGTTCATGCCAGATAGAGATAAGCGTGCGTTTGCTCGCCAACCTATGGACCCGCACTTGGGTTAGGCGAAACTTTTTCAATAAGGCCCCTAAAATTAACGTTATTATCAATAAGATCCCTAAGTGTTCTGGCCCAGTTCAGAAACTGACAAGTTAGGGATCTAAATAGAATTTTGTGACAGTTTAGGGTTTATGTGACAAAAATGGCAGGCAAGTAGAGACGGACCCACTCGAGCCGAGCACGAAGCGCACGAGCCGCTCTTCACAGTCATCCCGTGGCCGCGCCGCGCCCCTCCAAAAATCCAATCGCGAGAGGCGAGCGCCGCCGCCGCCGGGATCGCCCTCCAGGTACGGCCGCCTCCGCCCCCGAGGTCGCCACGGCGATTTCTCGTCGGATTCTTCGATTTTCGCCCGCGGTTTCACCGTTCCGGGGAGAGCTAGTCGGGGAGTGTAGGATTTTTTTTTTCTGAGAAAAAGGTTTTGGATGGTGGGGGTTAGGGTTTGGTTGAATCGTTTGTATCCGAGTTTTGCGCGGCCCGGATGTTCAATCCGGTGATTTCGTGGTAGCTTTGCCGTCCGGGCTGCGAGGGTAGCCGTAGCGTGCGGTTGGGTTGTTTCTGGTGTTGGGGGGATGGGGTTGGGAGGGTTTGTGTTCTGAGGAATCTATGCGAGGAAGAAGAACCAGGTGAGGTTTGCGGTGAGGTTTTGGTACTGATATTGCGCTGCAGAATCAGTAGATGCGATGGAAGAGCGCTGAGGTTTTGGAAGGGTTTTGAGCAGATTATGCAGTAGTTTCAGGAGATGCATTTCGCCGCATCCCCATTTATAGAAAGTACCTCTGCGAGCGTTAGTGCTAGGATTGTCGATGCGCTTCATGAGGAGATGTTGAATTTGGCGGCTAGCTATGTTGATGCATTAACTGCTTTCTTATGGTTTTGTGCGTAACGGCAATTTTTTTGGATAAGGCGTGAGTAGGTTTGGCATGTAGTAATCGATTATCAATAATGCTACTGAGATTTGGCATGTGATAATCAGCTATTAATAATTCTTAGGGCTCCCTGTCGGAAGTCCAAATTCTTATCCACTCTTGTGTTTCCTATGCTGATCTTGTCGTATCACAATTACAGATTGCGTTGCATGCTCTGATGGCGTCTGATATGAGGTCACTCAACAGCCAAAAGGGACAGAGTTGTGGAGTTTCAGACCAAGCTTGCCACAGCAAAAGCAAAAGCGGCAATGATGGAAAACCATCACATGCTAAAGCAAATGGAGTTTCCTCGTTGAGCGGGAGTCATAATGATGAGAAAATTTTGAAAGAGAACTCTGGAGCATGCAATTTAAATTCCGACCATGCCAATCCTTTATCAGTAGATGGGACCAAAGTTTCTACAGCAAGGTCGGAACTTATTGACAGTTCAGGCCATGATGGTTGTCTGCATGTCAAGAATGAAAGCTGTATGGCTTGTGATGATCTGCTTCAAGAGTCTGACAAAGAACAGCCTGGGGGTACACTGGAGGATCTATTTTCCTTTAATGATGAAGAGGATGATGACAGTGACTGGGAACCCTCTGCTCGCCTTGCTTTGAGCAGGTGGTTTTGCTTGAACTGTACAGTGCCAAACATGGAGGGGTTTACACATTGTCAGGTAAAGGTTATTACTTTGTCAGTGTAATCAGGAATGCCGTATGATTTCTTAGAAATTTTAGTTCAGATCATCCAGTGACATTATTTTGATTTTGGTTTTCTTGATGTTTATTCTCATACTCTAGAATTGCGATGAGCTTAAGGGATCTGTGGTAGTTGGATATGATGCTTTCAAAGCTCATCTTGCACAGGCAGCTTTGTTATCTGCTGACGCAGGTGCTTCTTTACATTCTTTACTCAGGGTTTAGGTTCTTCTTTACACTTGTAGCTATCTTTACACTTGCAGTTTGAAGCACAGAATGTGTCCCATTACATCGGTTGTTCATATGTTATGTGTATCCAACAACTTCTTAATTTGTCACAATCTCACTATTTTATGCAGCGCTGCCATCAGTATCTACAGCTGTCGGTTTTGATGAAAGAATGTTGCTCCATAGTGAGGTAAGCAATGAACTTCCGATTATGTTGTATAAACTAGCACCATATGACATGTTTGGATCTGACATCCTACATCAAAATTGGCCATTGCTTTTCTCTCTTTCTCCCATTGTTTAATAGCAAGGATTCGCATAAATCTTAATTGCTCCTTAGTGTGCTCAGTGAACCTTCTTGTTTGATTGCTTATGAGTTGTTTCATCTGAGAGATATTTGTTCAATCCCATTGGAGAACAAAACAGAAACCTGCAATTGCAAGCTCATTTACATTGCTAATTTGGAATCAAATAAATATTCCTTTTCTGTGCTTTCGTATAACATGACAATATTGAAGTGTTTCTTGTTTCTGTATCTGCTTCTAAACAATATAATCTAATTATATTCTCTTTGAACATAGATTAAAATAATTCTTTCTCAAAACTAGTTGCATTTAACCAAAAAAAATTATTTTGAAAGTACCTTTTTTTGGCCTCCTAATTTTCTCTATCAGCACAGAGCCACTGTAATTCTGGACTGACATCTCACATTTCCTATGTTATCAGATAGAGATTAAACCAAATCCACATCCAGAAAGGCCTGACCGCCTTCGTGCAATCGCTGCCAGTCTTGCTGCTGCAGGTACTCTATCATTAACTTTGAGATATCTTTTCTATTTAGTTATTCAGTGAAAGCAACTGTGATAAAAAATACCTCTACAAACTTTTGTGATTGTCTGATCTTGTTTAAATATTTAATCTAGGTCTATGTTTTGATGATTGCTTACTGTTGCAACCGTGTTGCCCAATGTAACCCAAAAGTATATATGGTAGTGGATAGCTAATCTAAAAGGTGTATCTGATCTTGTTGAAAGCAAAGACTGTCTATGTTTTGATGATTGCTTACTGTTGCAACCGTGTTGCCCAATGTAACCCAAAAGTATATATGGTAGTGGATAGCTAATCTAAAAGGTGTATCTGATCTTGTTGAAAGCAAAGACTTTAATTTGTTACTTCTTGTGCTCTAGCAGATTTATACAATGTTTTCCAAAAACACATATGGTAGCTAATCAAGTAATCGACACTGAAAATAGTTGATTTGTGCTGTAGCAAATCCACAAAACTGTTTCCTTGTCAACCATGTTAATTGAAATGGGTTGATGAAATAGCCTTGCTATGCCACTGCTTATCAAGTTTTACTTTAACTCATATTTCCAATATCTCAGGTATCTTCCCTTCAAAATGTGTCATGGTACCTCCTCGAGAAATCACTAAGGAAGAACTCCTAAGGGTATGTAAGAGTTTGGCATGTTAATTATTTTTGCTGCCCTATGTTCCCCCAGTATACTTGTCCTTAGTACAATCTTTTCGATAATCCTAACACATTCAAAATCGTGCTTACTTCTAGGTCCATACTTCAGATCACATTGACAGTGTTGAGCAGACAAAGAACATGCTTTACAGGTACTGTGTTTATTCCATACTTAAAAGCCATCTTGTAATTACCTTGCTTTAGTTTTGTACTGTACTGTTTGTTTTAGTATAATTAATTGCATGCTAATGACATTATATTTGCTGCTTGTGTGTTCTAGTCTTGCTGGAAAGATTTGCATTGTCATAACGTCATTTTGGGATCGATTTGTAGTTACTTCACTTCAGATACCTATGCAAATGGACACTCAGCATGTGCTGCCAAACTTGCAGCAGGGATATGTGCTGATCTTGCTAACTTGATAGTATCTGGGCGTGTTCGCAATGGATTTGCAATGGTACTGTGCATATCATCTTATATTTGCAATTCTCGACCTCTTTTTTGCACAGTACACCTAGACACCTGAGAGTTATTATTTTGATATACTTTGCATGTTGATACTGACTGTGTCTACCGGAGAGCAGGTGAGACCTCCTGGCCATCATGCAGGGGTGAAACAAGCCATGGGTTTTTGTCTTCACAATAATGCAGCAGTGGCTGCATTAGCTGCACAAAGAGCTGGTGCCAAGAAAGTCTTAATAGTTGACTGGGTAATGCTAGTTACAAGTTTGCATTTGAACTTATACCATTGCATTCTGTTGGCATCATGGACCCCCCCAAAAAAAGATAGTGCCTCAAATGGATGTTAATCCATCTCATCAGTGGTGCTCAATTGTTGTTGCAGGATGTCCACCATGGCAATGGAACACAGGAGATATTTGATGGGGACAATTCTGTGAGTTATCATCTTCCTTTTGTGTTGCTAATTGCTTTGCAGTCCTTTACTATACTTCCATATGCATGGCCACCAATTGACCTTCTTTCCCTGAGTCCTTATTTCTTACATGGATAAGTTTTCTTCTTCTTCTTTCAGGTCTTGTACATATCATTACATCGGCATGAGGATGGAAGCTTCTACCCTGGAACTGGGGCAGCAAATGAGGTGATTTTCTTTAACATTTGAAGATAATTTATACAACACTACATCTGAACTCTGAACTAGTGAACTACATCCTATTTGAGCCAACTGATGCTGGCTAACCGAATCTGGAGTATTTGGGGCATCTCCTTTGACAGATTGCATGACTCTTTTTATCAGAGTTTCTGACCTAGCATGTGGAAACTTGAGTTCTAAGATGATTCGTTTTATATTGTAACTTCTTGCATGGGCATCACTTCAGGTGGGAGTTATGGATGGCCAAGGATTCTCAGTCAATATACCTTGGAGCCGTGGTGGTGTTGGAGACAATGACTACATATTTGCTTTTAAGCATGTGGTGCTTCCGATAGGTAATAATTGAATAGGGGCATTTGCATATGTGCTAGTCAACTTAAAGTTGCTAATAACAATATTTTCTCAACGTAAACATGGGGAATATCCAGTGAAAACCATCAAATAAGTGAAAACCCATGAAAACCATGCCTAAAAGTTTTGTAAATTCATGAAAAAATTACTAGAGATAGGTATAGGCATGAAATACATTCATACCAAATTTTAAGTCCAAACTCAA